CAAACTGCACTTCTCTGTTTTAAAACACACAGCATTCCACTTTTGCTCTGATTTTCCCCAGAGGAGATGAGGGACACAACGTGTATGAATGACATCTAGAAGCTGGGGCTGTTATAAATTCAGCCTCAATTACTGCAAAACCAGACCTAAAATGGTTGCAGTCCAAATGGCTAGAACCCAGGGTGACTGCTGAATAAAAACAAGTGGAAAAAAATGTCACCCCAAAAACAAATCCAGACAAGCAGCTTCAGGAAGAAAAGCATGTCTGCATTAATGTGAGTACTCTGTTCAAACAAGACCGCACCCATGTTTCAACCTCTCATTTCTGTTTACAAGAGAAAAAGGTGGCAGAGGAAGGTTTGCTACTTGACATTCCAGAATATTTTTTTCCTTAGCAATTGTTTCAGTGTATCCTTGTTAAACAAAGAATGAACTGAACAGGCTCAAACAAAAGTGCAAAGATTTACTTTCTACTGTTTCAGGTAAGCACGAATGAATACCACTTTGGCACTCAAAAGAAAAGGCTAAAGAATCTAAGATACAGTAAGATGAGAAAATAAAATTAAATCACTAAAAGATGGTTTCCAAATAGAAGACTCTGACCATGTTGGCTTTCAAAACTACCAGCCTGTGACCACAAAAAAAATCTTATACTCTGTGATAAAAACAACTTCAGGAGGGAAGAAAGGCAGCTGGGCATGAACCATCAATTTGGATATGCAAGCACCGAGCAGTGTTGCTGTGACTGAATAACTGGCAAACAATATCTAATCTAAGAGAAAAGTATCAAGTGCATGCTTTTAGGAGCCCAAGGCCTAAATTATAAAAGATATTAAGTGCTTGAAAGAGTTAACACAACTTTCAAAAGTGACCATAAGACCAACTTCCTTTTGTACAAAAACCCAGACAGGCCACATGGAACACCATCATGAAACTAGCAGGTAAGGAATGTGCTAATGTGTACCACCCAAAGGTGATATCTTAGAGTCTGAGAACTCAGGACTTAAGTTGTCCAAAATAGGGAAGTTTGCTACAGGACACTTAAATTTAAGCCCTTGCATAATGAAATGATCCTTTAGATAAAATGTTCCAAGATAGACCAAATGATGTGGTTTTTCAAATACTATTGCAGCAAAAAAGCACCAAATAATCCTATTTTGTAATTATACTATTTCAAGGCTTTGTCTTCACAGAATATCCCAACACAGGAGGTCTTCAAAGCAGGACCAACTTCAAAATTAGACCATGTTGAAGGCCTTGTCCAGCTCAGTTCTGCATTCCTCCAGGGATGAAGACTGCACAGCATCTTGGGTAACCTGTTCCAGTGCACCACTCTCCCCGTGGGGAACTCTTCCCTTATATCTAACTGCAATTTCCCTTCCTGCAACTTGTAACTGTTGCCTCTTGGCCTTGCAGTGTGTGCTTCTGAGGAGGGTATGTTTTTCTCTATAAACCCTTTACTGCAAAGGTGAGAGGCTGAATCATGCCCAAGTTGTTTCCATCAGGACCACCACGCACTTTTCTGAAGAGCCGTTCCTCTGATGAATGGCATTCTGCCACAAGTGCAGGAATCTGGATTTACCTTCACTGAACTTCATGAAGTCCCTGTTGACCCATTTCTCTAGCCTGGCCAGGTCGCTCTGAATGGAGGCTCTGCTCACCTAAGCATCAACTGCTATTACCCCAAGTTTGTGTCATCTGCAGATGAAATGAGGGTGCAGTTCTTCACAGAGATTGTATAATCCAACTCTGTGCTACTGCGTTGTTGTTCTGTAACATTGTCTGAATGAACTTGTTCTTCATCATTTTCCTTTAGAATAGCTCACAGGAATGCTGTTCCGTTTATCTAACGTTAGAATAAACAGCACAGTGGTAGAGGGAAACATCTCAAATATTGCTGGGCCAAATCCTTATCTAGTGTAAATTCCTCACATGTCTAATCAGCTTATCCTAAATGAAGATCCAGACTATCCATTCAATAGCCACAGTGCCAGTAATGTATTTAAAAATCAGCAGGTTGTTTTTTTGTAACTAGTTCTCAGTGCTGCACATATTAGTTCACTGTTGGCACAAATCGATCCTAGAGGAGCAGGAAGAACTGTGTGCTTCTGCCTCACAGCTGACTTAGCACAACCAAACAAAAACATGCCGAGTGTTTCTATGCTTAGACATACGTGCTTTTGAAGAAAGAATTCAAAATATTTGAATGCATTTATTAGCAGTTGAGCCTTCCTAATCTCCAGATACCTTTTGGGCATAGGAAAATATGCATTTTTACAAGAAACTATTTTTAATAGTCTTTAAAATAAATTTTTTACACAACAGTGTAATCTAAAAAATACTCACAATGGGAGCAAAGTTAGGAAAACACTACCCCACACCAAACCTCCACCCTCCTGCAGTATGACCACTCATCCAGGCCTTCATTGCAGCCTCCCGTAATTTGATCTGAGGAGCTAATTCTATCTACTTGAGTTCACTTTTTATGACAGGAATATTCAATATAGGAGACTTCCCTTGGAAGAGGGTATCAGAGACTAACAACAGCACTTCTTCCATGACACCTATGCTGAATCATTCAGAATTCACAACAAACTCTGTTTCACAAACAGGAGCATGCTTCAGGACAACATGCAAGAAGCCTATTAAATAAATCTGGTTCATGCAGATTTAGTCACCTTATTACACCAAACCAGACCAGGAAACTAGAAACATGACAGGTGAGATGTTCTAATCATACTGGACATGGTAAGACTCCTTTCAGGTTTGGTAGCTGATAGAAAAGAAAACAGTTTTATGTGTCCTTTCTCTGACACCATCTGTACCCTGTCCACAGTCACCACATCCAGGAGTTTGTTCTGATCTGCAGTAGCACGAGCCAGGTAAGGCTTAAGCCCCAGAAAACTGACCAGAATAAAACTAGAATATTAGAACATGGATTTTTTATTTTTTTTCTGAAAAGATTGTCCTACCTAAATCACTCTACAGTTTGGGTAATACATGGGCTTTGCAGTACTATCACCTTCACCATTTCCATAGGCACAATCCAGCCCTTTCAAAAGTAACGTCGGCTGTGAAGGATGGGAATAGAAGATGAGCCAGAAACCAATCCTGCTTGGAAAGAGTACTTGCCTTCTAGAGATCCTTGAGCATTGAATCATACCCCCTAGCGAATGTGAAATGGAGCTCAAGAAAAGGAGAAATCTAACTTCAGTATTTGCTTCCAGCATTTCCAGTGTTGCCCTCAAAAGCCTGAAGATACCAAGATATGCTAAATAGGTCCTAGCTGATGGGGTGTGTCTGTCTCTGTATGAATAATCCTGGTCTGTTCCTGTACAAAGTTATAAACCCACATAGGCTTGGGCTCCCCAAGTCCTGGGTCTTGCCCAAGCCTGAAATCTGCTGAATCCACAAGTCAGTAACTAAGTTACAATCTTCTTCTTCTGCAACAGGACGAAATAATGATAATCCACTTCTTTATGCAAAGCTACATATTTCCAGCAATTCTGTAATGCAGAAGGAAAGGACAGGGAGGAGGGGAAGAGGCCAGCAGGGAAGGCAACAGTTTATTCCTGTCCCTTAGCTCTGCATATGGTTTGAATGTGTAGATGAGCTGCTACCTTTGTTTTTCCAGTAGTTATAAACCTACTAAAATCCTGCTAATTTAATTGTTTAAAAAAACTACCAACCCTTAATAAATGTGAGATGGTCTACGAAAGAGTCCTTCCTGCAGACACACGTGTTTAACATAGTGCCACAACCAGCAGGATCAGCCTGGTCCCCTTATTGCTTTTCTGCTAGAGGTTTGAAGCAGATCTTGTTTATTGTTCTTTTTTGCAAACCTGAGTGAGATCTTTGAAGTGGCCAGGCTACTTGAGCCGTCAGGCACTGGGCTGCACCCGGTGTGAGGCAGACCGAGCAACACCAGTGTTAAACAAACAGCCATCCCAGCAGAGGACAGTGGATGAGTTACAGAGAATGGCAGTCAGGACAGGCACAATCCATCCAAAGCAAACTACATGTTGTCTTAAAAAAGCAATTTGGAGCTGCATTTGCCTTTCAGACCAGTCTGATGTGTTTAAATAAAGACTCTATCCTTTAACATACACACACATATATATGTAAGAATCCTTTATAGGATGTGCCTAGATGAGAATCCCTCCAGCTCCCTGTTCGTTTTTCTGGAGTCATTATGCTTTTATTATTGCTATCACACCTTGCTATACCCCAGGCTTAAAAACAGCACATGTTTGAAGCTCTTTTTTTCCTTAAAATTAAATCAACACCACTTGCTGGGTAATCAAGTGACAAGCACACTGAAGTATTTAAGAACATAACTCCATTTCCAAGCTATACTACATGTAAAAAATCTTATAAAATATTTTTTTTAAAAAAAATAATCTTTAATGAGGATTTTTCTGGTACTTCATAGTTTTTCTTTTTTTTTACTTTAAGATTAAAGTTGGTTTTTTTTCTGGCCACATTATCAAGTTCAAAATGCAAGAAATTTGTTTAAATATAAAGCTTCCTCAAAGTCCAATACTGTTATCAAATAATTTTTATTGAACTCTCTCCTCTTCTTAATGGTAATTCACAGTAAATCCGTAGCACAGTTATCATGGGTCACAGAGCCAAGGGAGAGGCTGAATAAGACAATGGACCAGAACTGATGAACCAAGTTTCTACCCATCCATTCCAACTTTCAGTATCTTGTATCATCATTCAAAACTAATGGGTTTCACCAGGATCTTTGTAAAACACCATTTGGTCAGATATTTGCCAGGTTTTTAGCTACCCATTTTCAGTTAAATTGCCTACATACTAGGGATTCAAAATAAAATAAAATAAAATAAAATAAAATAAAATAAAATAAAATAAAATAAAATATATAATGTTATTCCTCTCTTCTTTCCTTGATATTATGTGGACACAGGAATATCTAAGATGGTAAATAAAGAGGACAAAGACTTGCAAAGTCATCAAGCGAGTATAATTCCTACCTCCAGCCTGGTCCTGTCCACATCCTTAGGCAATTTCACACGAACTCGGTTTGTTACAATAAGTGTTTCATAAGGATAAATCTGTTAAAAAGACAAGAGCATATGAACTCCAGCCAAATATGATTCTGATGTGTGGAAATGACACTGTGGGGAACTTACTAAATGAAATGGTACATACTTGCATTCTGATTTGACAAATATTTCACTGGGACAAATATTAACAAAATAAAATAAAAAAAAAGGAACACATGTAACCTTGCTAGGAAGTGCTGAATCTGATTGTTCTTCCAGTGTTGGAAAAGCCCTTCTTACCTTGTATTCTGCAAAAGAATGAGAACAGGTAGACAGTTTAGAATTTATAGGCTTCTTTTGGAGTCGCCACAAAGAACACTGAGGTAATTAGTAATTTGTTAGGCTACTACATTTCTTTCCTCTCAATAGGTGTTGAGTAACTGCATGCATAGCAAACGTTTGACCCCCATGCTCTGAATGCCTATAATGTTGCCTATTAGCAAAGCAATAGTCCTTGAAATCAAAGGCTTATTACAGAGAATCCGTCTCCCGGTGCCATTAGGTTTCACAGTGAGCGTGCCTGGCTAAACTGGGAATTTACAGGAGGCTTTTGTGCAGAGTTAAGGCAGTCTGTCAGGCAAAAGTCCTGCCCTTACTGTTCTTTACTGAAAATAACTAAACTATACGGATAATTACAGGCATGTCAGTTTGAGAACTTATATGAAAACCATTGAGTTAATACAAAATACATCAACATTCTACACTTGGGCTGACTGCAGTGGGGATAATGACAGTGACAATGACTCCTGGATCTAAACTAGCTCAAGAGTATTCTAGTTAGGTCAGTATATGATTATAAGATATGATTATATGACTATATGATGGTGAAGTCACCATCCCTGGAAGTATTTAATAGATGTGTAGATGTGACACTTAGGGGCATAGTTTAGTGGTGGACTTGGCAGTGCTAGGTTAACAGTTGGATTTGAGGATCTTAAAGGTCTCTTTCTAACAGACAATTATATGAGTATCACTTTTCTATTCACTTTCTATGACTACCACAAGGTCATCTCTTCACCAGGTTAGCCAGTAGGGTTTCAAAGACCTTTTAGTGGTCTGAAATGAAAGCAGAGATGAGCCTGCTTTTCAAATTCTGTACTTTAATCTATTCAAACATAAAGATTTGTATCAACACAGAGACATGAAGTAAAGCATTAAAGTAAGATTTTTAAAATGAGATTAAGTGTCTTGGAAACAAAACCCTACTCTTCCCTACGCATAGATTCGTGTTCCCAAATTGCTCAGCTCTTTTGAAAATTCCAATCCAAGTCCAAGTTCTATACTAAGTTCACAGTCCACTTAAACTGGAATAAAACAAATGAATGCAAATTATGCTTGTTGAATTCTGTGCAATTCAACTACACTGTAGCATAAACAAGAAGCACAATGGACATTAAAAAACCCAATAATTTTGATGTATCTTGAAGGAGTGATTATCTTAAATTTCTTCCTTTGATGAGACCATCGCTACAAAGGCTGCTGCAATATACTGGAACTGAGGATACTGGGATTGACTCAGCCTGGTTGCACCAGTTTAGAATGCAGGACTTCAGTCAGGCCTTAGATATTTGGCTAGATAAAAAGAAGATTCTATGTGATAAATATGATACTAAGCTGGGTCTCTGTCTAGTCACTATTACGTGGACTATGGGAGTATATTAGAATTGTAACATTTATGGAAATCTGTTAATGAGCATCCTCAAAGGAAGAAAACATGAAGTGGAGTGGAAACAATATTGTAATGTACCTTTCATCCCCCAGCTTGCCTCCTGGTCTGTTCCATATTGGCCCATATTTTCAGGCTGAAAGAGAACGAAAGAAGCATTGTGGCAGTAAAATACACCTGTATTGCTTCACATGTTGTTGAGAGAAAAAAGAAAAACAGCTGGTACCACACAATCAAAATGCAGATCGTTGTGAGAGAGAAAGAATAAAGTCTCATTTGAACTTGCCCTCATTGCTCAGAGCAGGTCTCACAACACCCACCAGTCACAGAGATGCAGCTCTGGCTGTGCAGAAGGATGGAGTGTCAGTGAGTGCCTGGCACCTCAGAGCCACTGCAGGTGCACTTTGTGGGCTATGCTCTCACCTCCCACTGGTCAGTGAAAGCTTGGGTGTCACTCAGAGAGGTCATGGTAGTGCCATATCACCCCACCTCACCTCTAAGCCCTTTGGATGTTTTCAAGCTCTGATTCCTTGCAGCTTTCAGTGAGGCAGAAAGGTGTCAGAAAGCCACCAGCCACCTCCATTTGATGACCTGGCAGTAAGGTAAAGACTGAAGTTGTCGCATGCCTCTCCCTGTGATGCAGACATCTTACTGCCATTATCACAAATCACTTATGCTGCCCTGAAACTTGTCTCATTCTGCTTTCTGCTTCACACTGCTGATGCCACTAAGCCCAGGGAGAACTTTGCATATGTGCCATAGCTCTGTGTGACTCACTGTCTGTTTCCTTTGCTGACAAATGCTATGATGAAAAACAATACAGGAGATGAGAAAAGCACTATTATTTTCTTTTTCCTGAGACTCATTTTAGCCTGTTAGGGTACCAATGGTGTGCATGGCTATGCTCACAATAACCTGCAAGGCTCCTTACTGTTTGGTTTTGGTTTATTTTGTTATGCAGCACTGGGATGGCTGATTAAAAATAACAAACCACAAAAGCTGGTATGAACCTGCAATCCAAACAGAGGACATCCATTCTGGGAAGAATTTTGGCCTCAAGGATTTGACCACGAGCAACCTTTTCAACTTTCCTACAGTTTTCGGCTGTGAGGTTGAAGCCTTTAGGTGGGACGGATGCTGCCATCTGCTGCTTTCGTACCACATTGCATGGCTTCAGCCTGCAAGGGCAGCCAGCTCCCCTGCTGATGGGGTTTGCTTTGACTTCATCTGTGTGAAGCCCTCTGACAGCTTTGGTGCCTCACCAGCGCACTGGCCGGGTGTAAATCTGCCCCTTGCTCAGTTCAAGTTAATAGTAACTTCAGATATTCTGAAAAGTCAGAAAAAAGCTGTTGACTCATAGGTGGGGACAGCTTTATCTAGGGCTTTTAAAATTCCTAAATCTCATTTGATAAAGTTGCAGTGCCACTGGTTCCTTCAGAGAGGAATTCAAGCGGTCAGATATTGAAGCAATGCATGCACAACAAGTCTTATAATATTAACTCAAAGGGATGAACATTCATTTAGCTACTCTCTGAATATTGCTTCCTTGTAGCTCCTCCCAGTGACCTGCAGTTTGACTCCTATCACTGGAAAAGTTTAATCCTGCTCATGTACTTTTGTAGGTTTCACACCTTCCCTTGGAGAAAGGAGGGACTTTGAATGAGGTCCTGTCTTTGTAATTTAGACACAAATCAATCTTCAAAATGTAAATGCACATTTATCTATGTATTGCCAACTTATCACTATTAAGCATAATGGGTTTGTACCTAAAAATATAAGCCATGAACTGAGAACTCACAATGCAGTGTGCCAGAAAGAGAGACCACAGTGTCAAAGATGCCTTCTTAAAGACTTAAAAAATTATAAAAAAAGGATTAGAAAAACAATGGTGAGCCTGATCTGATCATAATTTTGTTATGCATTTTGCTTTCTAGATTGCTGCCTGCCATGCTCTCTGTATGGTCTCCTCCCTGCTTTAAAAGTACGAGGACTGCGTGTGTATCTGCATATATATACATATATATGTATACACACACACATATATATACACACACATGTACTGGAAAAAACCACAACGGATGGTTCGAGAGATGCAATGGATGTAGACTACTCTAAGATTACTATTTGCCTAATAATTATAGGCCTATCTCTCTCTATCATTAATTTAAGCTATACTGTGATCTACTAATATGTGCAGTCTGTATATTTTGGACTTTCCTTTGTTTTGGCAGGAGAATCAAGATCCCTCATGCTCATGATGCACACAATTAAAAGGAGAAGCCTCAGTCTGCCTTACTCTTGCAGACGGACAAACCGTAACCTGCACAGGCCAGGAATCTGTCAGACAGGGCTGGCAACCAAAACACCTTTGAAGTATTATTACTGTGTACATTTAAAACTAGTTACTAAGCTGCCTATTTATGATATGCTATTGCCCAGAGAATGCATTTAAATATATACCTACCTGATGTAAGCCATTCTTCCCATAGCCTGGGAGAGAAGCAGATTTAGAATATGGAAATCCTGTAAAAGACACAACATACAGCTATACTTTTTGTAAACCCTTTACAGCCTACTAAAACACCAAATTGAAGGAAACATCCATTTACAGCAATGACAAGATCAATATGTACATTCTATTAACAGGATGAAATAAAACTGAGCAATGCTCATTTTTTCTTCATATTTAATGTACATGAACATGTGTAACAATGTCTATAAATAACAGCAATCCAGGATGCATTCACCTTACCAGGCATGACATGAAGAGAGTAGTGGGACTCGTGTTACAGAAGTCTTACGCAGCTATGTGACTCAATGCAGATTTGAGAGCTTGTTAAATCTCTGCCCTCCAATTGGTATTAAACCATGACTTGAAAATAGGATTAAAGGTACCATTATTTTAGTTACATCACTTCAAATCACAGTCTATGTGGTCCAGTTCTGGTTTTGTTTCTTAAAAGTTAATTTTTTCAGACTTTGCTGCCTACACAAATTTATAAAGCACAGTATTGAGGAGGACTGGGATATCAAAAATTTGTTTTTCTTTCTTTAAAACTTTTTCTACAGCTTCAAGAGGAAAAAAACATAAATGAAGATATAGCAGTGGGTAAAGTAAATCAGTGAGAGTATAAAACTTTCTTTCTCCTGAGTGTTTAAGACAGACAAAATGGGCAAAGTGGTGCTACCTTGAACAAACTGGATATAAAATTGATGAAACTGTGCAGTCATCATGAAACAACTGAAAAACCTTATTTTTAATATCAAGTCTAATACAAAATTTTGGAGGTTCCTTTTGTCAGTGAAAACAGAAACAAAAATGTTTCAGATTAATTTTGGTTAATAAAAGTGATGTTACATAGAAGTGACAAGCTGAAACAGTTTAAATTACACAGAAGATGAGAAAACATGTGTAATAAACATTCTTGATTCCAGTACAGGAAACTCTGATAAATTGATGTAAGAGTTACAGAAGTCAGTTAGCTCAAAGAACTGAATGTACAATGCTCCTTTCTGTCAAAAAATGTTAGCAATCTGTGTCCAAAGGGGAATGCAGGAAGAGAATCCAGACCCCACTGGATTAATAAATACCCCAAGGAGATTATTAGGAATAAGCATACAGAAAGAAAAAACAAAAGATGGATCAGCAAAGAGCTCACAATGTGCTGAGATAAAGTGAGAACTGCCAGAAGTCAAGCTGAGTTAAGCACTGAAAATGATATTAAAACAAATAGCAAAAGGTTCTCCAGCTATCCAAATAAAAAGAGAACAAGGAAAGAAGAAATGGGATCGCTGGGAGTTACGCTATGTCAGTACATGGCAGAGGTGAAAGGTAACCTAGGTAGGGCTCCAAGACCGTTTTTAGGGACAAAAGGTAGAGTACTGAGCACTGAGGAAAAGCTAATGAAACAAGGGTATGCCAATGAATCAAAGTCGTGATGGAAACATAATTCAAAGCACTTAATGTAATTAAACAGGGAATGATAAGTTCACATTGAATTACAAGTCAAATACCTCTTACCATTGGAGAACAAAAACTATAGTTTTTATATTTTAGAAGGGAAAAAGATAAAGAGGAGCTATCAGTTTGCTTCCAACAGAAAACTGAAGAAGAGACTCAACAATCCATCCAAATAAACAAAATCAATTATACTCATGTAAATTTTTAATTGGTTTGACATAAGTTAAAGACATAGTGCCAGACTTGCTTGGTAATTTTCTTTATTAAGAGAAATCACTTCTGCACAACACAAATTTTAGTGGATGTCATCTAATGCTGTATTATTACAGTGTTTGTTATTTGGCCTCACATGGAATTAAATGAAAATCTGGAGAAATTGGGGTTTATCAGAGGAAATCAGTAAGGAAATAACAAAATGTAAGGAATGGATGAGAACTGAGGAGAGCTGACAGAAGAGTCAGCATGGACTGGTGTTGAGTTGAAATTGCCTCATGATTTCACTAATAATCTGGACACCCAAAACAGCTAATAAACTTTCCTGTCTACACAAAGTTATACAATACTGACAATATAGAGGAAGTCTGGGATATCATAAAGAATTGGGATATCCTTGAATACTGGGGTAATAGAAATAGGTAAAAAAAAGTTAATAATTCATGGGGCAAGTCATGCACTTGGGGAATAATGAACATCCCAAACTTCTGCTATTTAAGCTGAGAGCTCATAATTTGGAAATGATGGGAAGGGAGACATGCTTAGATACACAGCTCACTCACAAGATGACCTTGAGTTGCTAATATAAGTGCAAAAAAAGCAAAAGTTGGAAATGTCTGTCCTGACACAAGTAAGATACAGAAATAATAGTATTTTCAGGCAGTGAGAGGAGATCCTGGAGGAATCCCTTGCGCTATTCTTGTTCATCAGAGCTCAACTGGGTTATTAACTACACCAGACCAGAAGCCTACAGGATAACTGGGGTGGTGAAAGCTGGAAAGAAGGTTTGATAAACTTGACTTATGTAAGCTAGTAAAATGAAGATCACCTGTAAGAGCAAGAGATCTTTTAGAAACATAATCAACCATCATTGGAGGAGTGGTATAAACTATGAGCAGAATTTTTGGTTTCAGCCCCACAGGGGGTGTCCACAGCTGACAGAAGGGGTCATAGTGATGAATACTGGATGGATCGCTTACACTATTCCAGTTTGGAAACTAGAAACTCCTCATCGCCTGTTATCTGGATAGTGGTGACACCAAGGGCAAAGAGTACAATAACTGTGAGACAGAATGAGTGCATCTGCAATAAAAGTATCATCTCTGCTCCTGCCTGGCAGAAGATGCTGGTGTTGAACATCAGTGCAGAATTCAATGTCTTGGCTACAGAGAAGATGGGTGAAACATTTTTTTTTTCCCCCATGGCCAAATACTCCTCGGCTCCCCAGGAAAAGCGCGCTAAGGTAAAGAGGAGCCGCGCAGGCCGCCCGGACTGAGCCGCAGCCGCGGGCACGGGCGACATCGTGTGGCCGGCTGGAAAGCAGCCAGGAGGCCAATGAGGCCGAGACAGCGCCAAGGGGCAACGAGAGCCGCCGGCTCCGGCGGGAACCGTGCTGCACTCGGCTCCGGCTTCCCGCCGACTCAGCACAGGGTTAAACGCGGTTTGCTTTGCTTCCTTTTCTGAAAAAGAGAAAGGAAAAGGCTAAGAGTAAAAGCCGAGAGCCACGCACTGCTCTTGCTCACACCCAGCTCCAGTGGCACTGTGACAGCGATCCTCCGGAGGAGCTGCCCAGGCTAGAGCAATCTTTCTCTCTAAGCAGGCGCTGTCTGAACTGCATCCATGGGATGCTTCTCTCCACCCCAGATCCAGCTGCTCTCTGCACGGATACCGCTCCTGCTTTTTCACTACGACACTCACTCCAGCCTGGGTGTTCCGAGGCTGTCTCTCAGCACCTCAGGCACGCAGGAACAGCAAGGGTTACACAGCTCCCTAGACGTCTGCCTTCCCAAATATGTGACATTTAAAATCATAAATTACGGTAAATTATTAACCATGAAACACCTACATACAAAAAAACCAAGACACATTTACACAGGTGGGTGTAAGGAGATGCCAGCTCCCCTCTACATACAATGTAATGTGGCTAAGTATCTTCTAGAGCAGAATGAGCCTTCTCTGGTTTGCTCAGTGGCTGCACAGCTGAATGCAGGGCTGCTTGCACAGTGTTTGGACACGTCACCAAAGATTCACTGTCTGATGCCTCCTAACCCCTTCCACTCCGCATGTGACCACTTGGCACCAAACCTATACCCAAAGTTTATTTTCTCTGGTAGTCATCCTGACGCAGCCCACAAAGATGGGGCCAAATGTTAGAGTTCTCAACTGTAAGTGCAAGAGTCAGAGAAGCTACTCTTCTATGGCCAACGGGGCATGTGACTACAAATATTCAGAACCAAATATGGCAGCACTAAGTAGAGAAGGAATTCCATGTCCAAGGATGTCTATGAGTATTAAAACGGCCAGGCGGCAAAATAAAACCATGAAGAAAGTTCAAAAAATAAAAGATTAAATGTCAGGAGAAGCAAACTTCCTCAATGTCATTTCTGTGTAGCTGCTGATTGGGTAACAGGGCCAACTTCCATGAAGGACACTGAAATGCTGGCAAAAACGCAACGGAACACAAACTACGCAATCTCTGTCTCGCTTTGGCAGCGAGGTGATATTGACCCTGACAGAGGTGTGAACCATCTTTTGCATTTCTAGTTTTAATATCTCCACATTGCTAAGATAATAAAACAAATAAAAGAAATGCTGGTATGGAGGAGTGACATTTAGCAATATTCTCATGAAAAAAATTGACACCATAGGTTGTTCCTATATAAAACAGTATTTGGTGTCCTACATACTTCTCTCTACTTAAAATTTGCACTCAAGGACTATTTTCAAAATATATGTGTAAAAAAGCATCATATTGACTCCAGAAAGCTTCAAAACATAGCCAACATGTGCAACACAATGAGAGGTTTAGGTGTTCGTGTCTGGGCAATGACTTAGAGAAATTACGTGGATGAGGTGGTCAGACTTGGTTTCTCCTGCACAGGGGATCTGTCAAGGACAATAAGGCAAATGTGCCTCGAAACTACTACACACGTATGGGCTCTACAGTGAAGATATGGGAGGAGTGGGCACTCTTGCACAGGTGCTGGCTCTGCAGTGGAGGTACAGGAGGAGTTGGAGGCAGGGCCGACCAGCTCTGCTTCCCTGACTCCACCAGAGCATGCGTACGGATGGCATCAAATATTGGTCAGACACTTTATGGGGGTACCTGATCAAAACAACCATCCAAGACCCCATGAAATGCCCCCTGCCTCATTTTGAGAGGATTCTTAAGCCTACAACATGCATGTGCAACTTCGAGACCAGCCAGCAACTTATACACTCCCCCAGAGGACAAATCTCTATAAAGGCTTGAGACACAAAGGAATTGTGGTTGATCCACTACTTTCAGACCAGGACCTTGACTCAAGACAATGTCACTGGATCCATGGGCAGTGACACCTCTTCTTTTTTCCTAACTTTCTCCTGTATTTCTTTTCTCTCCTGTCTTACATTCTAACTCTCTTCTACTTATTTTTTATTAAGATTATTAAGATTAGGTAGTGCCACATTTTTAGCCTTAGATTGCAAGAAGGGAAATGGGTGTTAGACCACATGCCTTTATCCACAACACTACTGACTGTCATTAAGAAAAGCCAATAAATAGTTTTGCATTGTTTTCTGAGTCATTACTGTGGCTCTGTCACCTCTGTGGCTCCGCCGTGCAGGGATAGCCCATTTTTTGGGGATTACAAAAATTCACCTCCCTTGTTACACACCGAGACAGAATCCTACCATAGACCTTGCACACACGTATGCAATGGCTGGTGAGGATTAAGGAATCAAATCCTTTCAAGTTAGATCAGTGAGACTGATGATCCAAAATAACTTTTATCTTGTTACAGCCTTGTGACAGACTTTGTAGCATCTGTTTTTCCTCTTCCTTGCATAGCTAAGCCATAATTTCCTTAATATAAGTTGATGGAGCCAGCTATCCCATTACCAAAATGCCCACAAGACTGACATCCTAGCCCTGCTGCCAGGCATGCCTCGCATTGGGTGCATTCTTTTGGAAAACTGCTTCCCCAACTTGTTTACCCGAGATGACCTGCTGCTGCTGTATGGTGCAAAGTGGAGAAGGCAGGGAGAGGAATGGCCCAGTTAGTTGTTAAAATTTAACCTATTTTTGTCATTTATATAATCTAAAAGTACAATTCAGACTTGATTCTAGTGACCATTTCCTTCACCTCCTGACTTGCTGAAATGCAGAGTAAGAGATGTGTAGGACACACTTTTGGTACTGACAGCTAGCATGGGCATATGGTCTTCAGATCAGTATTTCGTTCCAAAATTACCCCATTATTCCACCTGGAAGGTTTCTGTGAAGTTATAGGCATAACTCTGGGATTTTATCAGAAATGGTGTGGCCAGCAGGACTAGGGCAGTGATCACGACCCTGTACTCGGCACTGGTGAGGCTGCACCTTGAATACTGTGTTCAGTTTTGACTACTTCACTACAAGAAAAACATTGAGGTGCTGGAGCATATCCAAAGAAGGACAATGAAGCTGGTGAAGGGTCTACAGAACAAGTCTGAGGAGGAGCAGGTGAGAGAACTGGAGTTGTTTAGGCAGGAGAAAAAGAAGCTCAGGGGAAATGTTATCATCCTCTACAACTACCTGAAAGGAGGTTGTAGTGAGGTGGGTGTTGGTCTCTTCTTCCTGGTAACAACTGACAGGACAAGAGGAAATGGCCTCAAGCTGGAAGCTTTAGGTTAGGTATTAGAAAAACTTCCTCACTGAAAGGGTTATTAAGCAGTGGAACAGGCTGCTCAGGGAGGTGGTGGAGTCACCATCCTTGGAGGTATTTAAATAAATGTGTAGAATAGGTGCTTAGGGACATGGCTTAATGTTGGGCTTGGCAGTGTTAGATTAATGGTTGGACACAATGATCTTAAATGTCATTTTCAACCTATGATCCTATAACAAAAAATGTGTGTTCTAAATTAATCTTTGAGCAAAGTGTTTTTTATGCTTATCAACGATACAGAAGAAATGCCTCTACACATATTCAAAATACAGTTTGTATCAAGGAATAACAAGTCAACAATCTGCCTGATACTATCATCCCACCTTTTGAAAGTAGATAACATAAAATAAATAGGCACTTGTATGTCACAATGGGGGACGGGTTTTGTGGTAAGGAGCCTCTGCTCTCCAAAGAGGCAAGACAGTTTCTTTATGCAAGCAATGAACTATCTTTCACTATAAATAGTTTCACTACTGAAGTCTGAAGGTGCTGGATGCTTACAAGCCATAGCAAATCAAACTGAAATGAAGCGTAAAGCAGACTAGATAGCTATGTGGGTGAGGCTACAGCAGGGCCACCTTCCTTTGGCACATTCCCACTCGGCAGGACCGGTGGGCCGGGGGGCGCAGGACTCACGGGAGTATCCAGCAGTCGTGCCTTCCTGCGCCCTTGGGAAGTTTTCTCTGTCAGTTCCGGCAGCAAGAGACAGGGATCGTGTGTCCAGATCTGGGGAGTTAGTTCTGGTGTCCATATCCCCTTTCAGAATAAGCCAACTGGTCTTTAGCTGGAGAGAGTAAAAGCCTATTACAAGATTTAGGATTTATCATCTGCATGCAGTCCTGCTTCACCTGTCCAGGAAGTCTTGTGAATTGGTTGTATGTTTATGCTAATTGCAACTTCTACCATCCTTTATCAAATTATAAAAGTTAACGATATCACGACTTGGGCATCACAGCTACTAAAAACTTTTAACTTTCAGCTGGGCCAAGGATAGTTTCTTTGTTAATTAAGCTGCCCACCGTGCCCCACTTTACAAGATGCACTATATCATCTTGTAATTAATCTGCTGTTAAGATTTTTGTTGTCTATTAATATAAACCCTAAATAAAGTCCACAGGCTTATCTGAATCAACTATGTATATAGTGACACTAAGTGAAAATCCATCAGTTTATTTCTCTTAATATCAAAATCCCTACGCCTTTCTTTACTGCAGAATGTAGCTTCTAAACTCTCTGGGTGAGATACTAAGCTTTTCTCATCTTCTTGGGAAGACCTAAAGGAGTAATGATTTTTTCAGCTATATGAATTAATACCTTTACATATGAACATGTTTTAAAAATCAGTTGCTTCAAGAAAGATCAATAAACTACTCCCTTTTGTTCTTTCCGATCATTACCTTTTTACTGTCCTGATCCAAGCTTCCATCCTCCCCTTCTGATCTTCTTGCTGCTGGAAGATTAAGTTAATTTCAAGCATTAGAACAGAAAATATATTTTGTGTTCTGTATGTTCTAAACATATTTTGGGGGGGAGGAGGGGGTGGAAAATAAAAAAAAAAACAAAACACCAGAACTGGACAGGAAATTTATGTGTAAAGCTAAGGTTTTCTAGAACTACTTTAAATTATTTTGAATCATCCTTCAGGTATACAGTGAATTTAGACAACCTATTCCTGATGGATTTTGAACCTATCTTTTTAGGAAGAAACTACTTTTGGGAAGCAATTAGTAGGAAATAACCTATATCATAACTAAGGTACAGGTTTATATAGTCACTGTACAAAGTGCAGTCATCTCCCTGTTCTTCTGTGCTACCATGACCATGAAGGTACATATGGTTACACAGATATTTTGTAGTCTGCACACCTGGGCCTCCTACATTCCCCAAAAGCATAGGCAATGATAAAAAGAAGAGAGGAATATACTTGGTATTACCTCTTCAAGACATCTGCATGAGAGCCTGTCAGACTCTAAAATTCACAATTCTTTGACCAACTGCTTTTCTGACTATACTGCCCTCTTAAAGAACCTTTTAACCAAAAAATATTGCTGATATTTTATGTTCGCTTATTTTCTTGTAACCTTCCAACTTTCTGAGAAGAAAACCTGAAATCAAAAACCTGAAAGCTATTCAGTAGATAGCTGCCAACCACCCAATGTGATTTTATTTTTATATCCCACAGTATTGTTCCAGACACCGAGTTACACCTCAGAACCTTACAGAAAGATTTAATGTGAAATTTCATACCATTCCAGACAAATTCCCATAATTTGACTCCTGCTTGTCTTTGTATCAATCTATGTTGTTGTGGGGAGAGTTTTAATGGTACAAAACTGGAGTAATGCAATGATCTAGCATAATTTTAATCCCATGAGAAGTCATCACAACGAGGGGGCTGTCCGCAATGCCCGAGTAGAAGGGCAACACAGGAGCTCCATGCAGTGCAATGTAGCCAGAAAACATATTAATAGTCAAAATAGTGAGACAATACAAAGGCTAAGGCTCAGATTAAACTTTCAGAGACAAAGATGGGGAGGAGATTAAGTTGCACCATTACAAGTGCTGCCACATTGCCAGCAAGCTGGGAACAACTCTGCCCTCTCCATTTCCCCACCCAGCACGTTTACAGGGGATCTGTGTTGCACTTGAACAACATGGACAAAAGGCCACCACCATTAGCATATCAGTGCTATTCTGTTTCATCTTCTGGTGCCATCACACAGCTCACAACCAGATTTTAACAGGTTTTGTTGGGGATGTGATACTTAAAAAATGACAAATTGCATTAAGGAAAAAATCTATAGGTTAGAGCTGAACATCTGTAACTGTAGAGGTTTTTTTTTTCTCAATGTAGCAAAAGAAAGCTAGGTCATAAAATAAAAAACAGCATTATGAAAATACTCAAAGTTTTCACAGTTAGCTAATGACATCCTGATGGGGAATTTTCCTGAGATGGGAAGCTGCTTCTCTGAGAAATAAATAGAAAGAAACATCCATACATGATAGATGAAGAATAGAGTTCCTACACTGCAAGGCCTTAAACCTGGTTCACTGATATTTTGGAAGCATACCTTAAATCACCAGTCAGCAAGTTATTCCAGATTATATGAATTGACCTTGCTCTCACTAAATCAGAAATCCATCTAGAGAATCTGATGCATTTTTGGAAATCACTTTTGTTTGAAGATGTTGATGTTTTCAAAGGAAAAAACAGTTTCATCTAAACCATTATTCAGAGACTTCAAATGTTCCATGGGATCTAGAGAGCATCTGACTTCAAAGAGATGTAAGGGAGTGCAAGCAAAATCAACAGGGGCCATGAAGGCCCACTCCTCTCAAGTTCCTGAGAGGGCTTTATACAACACATCGTTGGCAGATAATTCAAGCGGCCTGAATTTCATCAGTTCAATGTGCATTAGCTTCAACACTACAAGGGATACTTGGTTCTGCTGGGAACCTCAGTGAGAACTGCATGTTTCACATGGATCAGTGCTAATACTGCCAAAAACCAAACCTCTTTTGAATGATTTTCAAATATTTCTGAAACACGAACACACAGAGAACAACAACCAGGCAGGCTCCCTGCACTCTTCATTCTCCTACACCAGCTCTCAGCCTGATCTCTTGTGTGTCCCATTTCCCTACCACCTTTTTTCATTCTGAAGTTGAGTGTTTATAAAAGAAACACAGAAGCTGTAGCTACAGCAGATCTGTTGGGCACTGCTGTAACTGAAACCTTTTAAAGCCAAATGTTTTGGAAGAGCTTCTTGCACTTTTTGTTTTAAAGAACATTTTTGTGCTTGTTTGTTCAAACTTGGTCTCTTCAATGAAGGAATGTTCTCTGGCTCCTTTTCAGCATGTATTAGTTCAGTGTCCTGTTAGCTTAAGGAACTGAATCACCATCAGCTCTTTACGTGTTCATGCTTTAGCTGGGAGTTCTTTCAGAACAAAAGGTAAATTTTATTTATTTATTGTATTTTTTCTGTATTGTAAAGGAAGTTCATTGATTTTTTTTTTTTCAGTTAGAGTAAATTATATTTTGCTCTTCAGTAGAAAAACAATGAACATATGTTTTCAACAACCTTTCAGAACATCTATAATCTACAAAAGAAAGTTGAAAACATATATCCTTGTTAACCTGTACAGATTGCTGACTCGGTAATTTAATTCTCTGCTCACTCCAGTGATTACAAGGAACAACTCCCTACAGCAGTGCAAAACTGACATACTCCAGACTTCAGCTGCATATTCTGATGGATGGAAAACTGATATAAAAATGCCTGGCCTGAAAGAAAAAATGCTGCTGCTTAGAATCCTTATAACTTTGCAAAAATATATTTTGCTGGGGGTTTTAAACCCGCTGGTTTTGCCCGGCAAGAAAACACCCCCAGTGGGACCCCCGTATTACCTCCAGGGTGGTCGTCAGCGAAGAGGAGGGCAGTGGCGAGTAAAGGAGGGATGGGCAACGATCGCTTTCTTCCAAAATAAAAGGTTTTAATAACATGAAAATAACAAACAAAAACACCTGAGGCAGGCACTGAAACAGCACCCACCCCAGGGGAGAAGCGAAAGAGCATGTGGCCTTGGGGCCAGGCGTTTTTAACAGGTTGGTAGGTGGGTTTACAAAGGCATTGTCCTGTAAGGATACACGGATGGGTTACCTACAGGTCAGGGGTCCAGTGGGTGTTAGGGGATTGGTCTTGTGGTGGCTAAGCCAACCACAACCTGGGAAAGATGGAAAATTCTGGATGTGTGCCCCTGTCTGGGGACAAAGAGGCAACAGAAACCTCTGTCTCCAGGAGGCGCGCTGCAACAAATCCTGTTTGCAAACCAAAAATATCTATAAACTTAAATGACACAGCCAGGATATAGGACATCAGAACCATATCATCAGCTGGGGTAAATCAGTGGCATTATTCTGACTTACACCAGGTAATTGTAACTTTGCATTTGTTCATGATCTTTCCACACATCACTACAATATTCAACATTTTCCTTTGTCAGTAGCTTTATTAGCTCAGCTTGAGTAGTTGCCTCAAATGGTTTGTATATCTAAAGACAAGAAGGAATTAGAGAGCTTGGACAGACTCTAAGACTGGCAGATTACATTAAACCGAGCACTGAACCAAACAGATACTATCTTTTTGCCTGAGAGGCAACATTAGCTTTTCCAAGGTCAGGATATTGTGAACAGAAAATGTCTATCAAAGACCAACAGCTGAAGTGCACTGAAATGTCAGCAAGTCTGACTTTGCTCAGAACCACATCCAGAAAAACCACGGAGGTTACCTAAATCTGGATGATCTGAATGTGTAGTCACTAGTTACATGAAGCACTAGTTACAGTGAAGGTGCACAGGCTGACTCAGCTGGGAGACATCAGTTGACAATCTGCTTTCTCCTATTACTGTATCAGATCCAAACTAAAACTCCACCCAAACCAGAAATAACTGTTGTTTTCCATGAAAGATAGTATAAAAATGATAACTACATAAAAGCATAATTTTTAAAACTAGGTTAACTGGGTATTTTAAAATCAGTTAAAGCCCCCTGTTAAAAATACCTAAAATGTATTTTCCTGTTCTGACCACGAAGGCAGTGATGCACCGCCAGTTCCCTGACCTTTCCCTCTGGGAAAGTTATCAGCTAAAGCCAAAGTATGGAAGAACAGACACACGGAGGTTTCTCACTCTCCCTTACAGCCTGGGAAGCCACCTCTGTGTGGACAGTGCTGCAGAAGGCAATAGGGTGGGAGGATTTGCTCCAACAGTGTCACTGCTCACAGGCACAGAACGGACCTTCCCTTGCCATGAAGAGTGGCATAATTCCAACCACAACAAAAATAATTTTTTTGGTTCTGAGTACAGGAGTACCCCAAGTCATGACTCTTTTAATCAGAAATGTACTTCTGCACTTTTCAGGCACCCTTACTGCACCCAAAGGCCCACATATTTCTTTCCAAAGATTAATAGTGGAATTCAGTTTTGAAAAATGAATTCCCTATTACTAATCCTCTACCAAGAACTAAGATCATTCACTGAGAACACAGTAGGCACTGACACCAAAATGGAAATTGCACTGATATTAATTAGTGAAATATACACCAAAAATAATAAAAGAAGAATGCAGACTTTATATTTCTATTTCTGGTATTTGCTTGGGTCTTAAGTCAGATTTTCAGTGGCATAAACCATCTGTTTTTTTTTTTTTTTTCCTGTTGTTTAGAAACTCAAACAATAATCTTTTCTGGGGTCTACCACAGGTTTTCCAATCATACCTTGCCAGTGTTGTCAGCCATTGAATTTGTTCCTAACTGCCATGGTGTGACATTTGTTCTTGATATTTTACAGCTTGAAAAACTCTCAAATGAAAAGTAGGTATTTCATAGACACCACTTATCAGAGAACTTTTTTTTTCCCCAGCAATATAGAAGTCATAACTATTTACAAAAACAAGATATCCCAAGTCTGAAAGCAGGAGAGCAGCCTTCAACACTTACATATTTTATAATTCCATACATAAGAAAACTGCTTTGAATCTAGTATCAGCTCTAAATTATGACAAATTAAAATATCATTATCCCAGTTTTAATGAACTTACTAGATCCTTGGACAGCATGTTATGCAAAAAGCTATTTAATTTTCATGTTACTTTTTTTCCTTTTCTATCTGATATTAAAGGGACATAATGAAATGCAAAGACTACAGCAAACTACTCTGGAAGTCAATATACATTTCTTTACAAAGGCATGTAGAGAAAAGTGCAACAGAGAAAGGCAGACTGTACCATGCTGTTTGTAGATAGGAGGTTTCCTATAGATGTTATCTTTTACACCAGTGTCTGAGGAAGAGGAAACAGAAAGAATAAAAGAGTAAGCAAGCAGTTCAGACCATGCTGCTCTTATCTCCTCTCAACAACACCAAAAATGCAAACACTTCACAAAGCAAAGAGAAGCTGGCTATACTTGTCACTACTTGAAACATATACAGGAACAACAGACCACTATAATAGTCACACTTGAAAAGGAACTTTCTCCATTAATTTATGAAGAAAGTGTATGTGTTCAAGTATAGATGTTTATAGTGGAAATGCCCAATATTCTTAATTGAAATCCTATAGTTTGTCTGTATTTTGAATTGTATAGCTAACTTGGCCTTCCAGGAATTTTTTGAAAGCCCCCAGAAGCACAGTCCAGGGTTCCCATGTCATGTTGTACAGACATCAGATTTACTTAGTACTACAGACCTGAGCAGACAATTCCTAATTACATTGTGTTTACTGAAAGATCAACCCCAGAAGCTAAACATAAATCAAGTATTTCAGTGAGCAGGTAGATGGACTCAGCAGTCAAAAGCTAAACAGTATGGACATAAAATTAAAGTGCTTGTTGACTGAATGTGAACTTTAAAACAGTATAGTTATAATACATATGCAACGATACAGCCACAGTGAGCTTCCTGGAGTTCTAATGTGTCCCAGCTATTTATAAAGTCTATGTTAATATGACTCTCTAATTCAGAGAGTACATGGATAAAGAAAAAAAACAAACCCCCAAACCCCCTTCAGCCTTCCCTCCTGTACACAAATTCAACAGACCTATGTAGCCACGGCACTATAAATAATTTTATCTTTATAGGCTTAATAACATTTGTCACTGTGTGCCTCCTCTAATTCATTTTTCTTTGTATCTACCTAAGCACACAGCTCTCTAACTCCTTTATTTCTGAGACAAAGTTTAACAGGTAACAGATCTTCACTTCTCAGATATTTTCTCCTCTTGTAGTTCGAAATTCACAAATCAACGCAAAGAAAAAAACCACATTCAGAAGAGAATAAACAGGTGCCAGCAATTCAAGATCAAAAGCTAAGCAGTGAATGCCTACCTGGAATATGGAAATGCCTAGGAGCCTGCTGATAGACAGAAGGTGAAGATTTGCTGTCTGAGTACATGGATAAGCTTGGAGTGCTCCGACCACTTTCACTGCCTCCAAGGGGAAGAGCAAAGAAAGCAGATAAAAGAAAAAAATGGAAAGCAAAGTAGAGTATTTCAAGCATAAAAGCTTGTTCAGAATGACTTGTTAATCCAACAGTTTTAAACTTATGTTTTTTTGTAAACCCCATTATTTTTCAGCACAGCGTATTGGCTCAGTCTCCAAACATCTCATCACTCATGAATATCTGACAGATAATACCAGATTAAACTGCCCCACTTTGAAACTAAAGCTTCTCTTTTAACAACACTTTAATGAAGAAAATAAAAGGCTATAAATATCCACAATCTCGGTAACATGTCTTGCATAGCCTTAACTGAATTATCTATTAATAAAGTTTTAAAAAAGTTTAATGCTATTGCTCATGGCTTGCCCCTGAAACCAGGAAAGAAATAATTCAGTAGTGTTGAAATTGTCTCAAAGCAGGACTAGACCAAAAAAACAGTTACAGTTACAGTTAAGTCACACATTCCTGCATACATCAGTGACAAAAAGAGATGTTGAATTTTGTTCTTAATTGCAAACTTTTCCCACAGGTAACAGGCCACAGCATTTCTTATTTATGCAAACAAGGTTGGATTATCAAGTCATGGATCTATAATGCCATAGTCACTTCACCAAATTTCAAGATATACAAGGATTGCTCCATATTCATTTTTCATTTTTCCAAATGCTCATTAGGTGCCATTCCTTTCCTCCCCACTTATTTCCCCAAAGCATGGTCTATGGCATTATAGTGCTGCTAGGCAAACAAAAAAGTAAAGCTCTACTTTTTTGGGACTTGTAAAATCCTATTAATTTACAGCACTGTTAAGCAACTGGAAGCCAAACATGACATTTATTCTAACATAAAATGGTTGTTAATTTGCTGTTACTGTTTTAGTGTGGGTGAAGCACAAATTTAATGGCAAGTAATGATGAAATTATAGCAAGTTTTTTTGGGGTAAAGAAAGTGCAGCAGCTCAGAGCACTAGATCTGTAATTGAGTTCTGCCTTCAGGGAGAGGGAGTTTTATAAACATAAAAATACTGGATTACCATAACTGTGTAGGCCAGTCCCATGGAGGTGGTCTCTGCCTCTGTTGACAAGCAGTGGATGCATGGTCACTGGTCTGTCACCAAAGCCAGCCACGACATGCACCACTGACGTCAACCAGGCAGTGCCACTGACTTTAGTGGGAGCAGAAACAGTCCAGATGAGGTCCGAAGAGCACGCTCTGTTTTTTGTCATCATACACTAACTAATCCATTCTAAATTTTGTGTCCATTATTTTCACAGTTGGCAAAGAATTAAAACTCAAAAAGCATTCATCTGTCACCACTGTGTACTCAATACCAGTGTTTTCTCACTCAGAGCACTGAGAAATTGAAATCACAACTGCATGTGCTGATAGCCCACGGTCCTTCCAAAAGATAGGGGAAGAATTATGGAATTACTAAAAATCTGGTGTATCACCACCAGCTTGCAGTCAGCTTGTCCTCAGACAAAGAACCAGACGGTTATTCAGCATCTTGATTTCCACTTCACTCTTGGAAGCAAAGAAGTGGAGACAGGTTTTAACTGCACATTTATTAATTCCCTCTTTCTTTGCTGCTTGCTGCCCAGATGCTCGGCCATCCCTACTAAATGGAAGAAGCCTCAGTGTCACTCCCAGTGAGAACACAAAGAGCAGTGGTCGACACATTTAAGTAAGGTCCCTTACAACTCCAAAAAACCCTAAAAAACCCTGTTCATTCACTCAAATGTGATGCTACTATTGGAATTTTTTAATTTAAAAAGGAAAGTTTTCAAGTGATTTTCACAGTGTATTAATTCCTAATTAACACAGAATTGCACATTAATTATGTTATGAATATATACAATATACGTATATATGATCTGCATGAATAATCACTTAATCATTGAGCAGGGATGCCAAGGTGCTGGTACCACACACATGTAGAGAGTCGCTCTTCAGGGACAGAGTAGCATGTCAGCAAGGAGTCAGGAGGAAGCATTGATTAAGAGGAATAAACTTGTAAGAAAACAGGTTCCAAGCACAAGTAGCAGGGGACAGCAAATCTACAAACTGCTCAACTCAAGGATCATTGGTATGGAGCAGTTTGCAAAGCCACCACTGCTAACTTGCTTAAGAGGGAAGAATTAAGAATGAAATGAGGGAAACAGTTCTTGCACATTTTAACTTTATTACTGAAACTGATTTGGACAAACATGTAAGAGTAGTTGTATTTCACATTTTGCATACAAAAATAAGTATTTAATGATAAAGCGAACTGAAGACCCAGGTAGAAAGTTCATGTGTGGGATCTACAGTCAGTCACTTAATCTAACCTATAATTAAAATCTCTAAAATAAGACTTTGCCAAGAATTTGTCTATTTCAAAGTCTGCTTGATATACACTGAAGAAGAATGTTAAATGAGGTCTCAGAGAAAATACAACTACCAGAGAGAGATACTTTTCAAACTTTTGGTTTTGTCTTCTGCCACAAGAAGCTGCAGGCTGTGATCTGCTCTACTGGTCAGTGCAGAGTAAAAAAAACAGAATCATGAACTCTTCCCTGGATTTTGTTTAACTTGGAGAGAATCTGGAAAGGTTTACTTTGAACTTGAGTGTCAACCACAAAAACTTCCTTGTGTCTTTTGGCTCCTGACAGTGTAGCTGCTCTTTTAACCTTCTGTGTGTGGAGCCAACTGACCAGAGTGCAGACCATGCTCCCTTTTCAAGGGATTGTCAGGAAAAGCATAATATTGTTTATGCCCCCTTCCTAGTCAGCTTTTATCTTATCGGGAGGATGTGAAATTGGATAACAAGTTACAGTAAGAACTGTCTAAGTTCAGGATTAAACAGTAAACAGATACCACTGGCCTAATGATTAAGATATCCGAGCCCACTGCCAAAATTGGATCATTTAATATCTCTGCACATGGTGCACTAAGCAAGACAAAGTTTTTTGAAGTCTGATGACTAACTCTTTTCAAGCTTTCAGAGCCAAAATAACAGGCTTTGGAAGCTGTGCTCCTGTGCTAGAAAGGCAAGATACTTTCCACCACGTTTTAAGTAAACATTTTTTCAGCAGGGCTCAACAGGACCTTTAAGCTCACTGACTCTATCACCTCAAGAGAAGAGTTACACCAAGCGTAGGTACTCGGAATATCACACCCTATGATATTCACAGGGACAAGAACTGTGAGGTTTTCTTGAACTGAGGATGTCATAGTATTTATTCTGAAGACATTCTGAAGACAAAAATCCTTAAAAGAGGACAACCAAGTCATTTGCCTGTATGATAAAGAATAGCTCATCTTACTCTACTTCATGGGAGCTAGACTACAGTATACTGAAGAGAGAACAGGAACTCAGTAATAATTTTTTTTTTTTCTGGTAAAACGATGACTCATTACATTAGATTCTTCCTGAGAATGACAACAGTGAAGTCAGATGGAAGATTCTGCCTGTTCTAATTTCCTTAGGGTAGTAACATTTCTATCTCCTGGAAGCTTAATGAAAGATTTTTTACAATAGTGCAGTGCCAGTTTTACAAAGATTACTTTTAAGAAGTATATTATTTTTTGTTTTAGTAATATTTTTTTAAATGAGCATGATTTCACTTTTTTTGAAACTGAAGTGGCAACATTAACTTTGGTCTGGATACAAAGCAACTATTGGTACAATCCTACTCTTCCCACACTAAACACTTTGAAGAGAAAAAAAAAAAAGCAGATTCACACTCTCAAAAGGCTTCTCCAGATAAGGGAAAAAAATAAGTCTGCAACTCAGAGAAAAGGATTCCGAGACCTTCAAGAGGATGGGGGCAAATCTTCTGATGCCTTCCAAACTGAGATGTAAATTCAGTGTAAAAAAGTGGATCATCTATATAAGTTCTGCAAGGCTCATGGTTAACTATACAGGAAAATCCTAAACAAGCTCGCCTGCCTCAGGAGAGCTCCGAGGTACACTAAGCTGCTGCTTGCAAAATATTTTAGCTTCTTGATAAACAGTGTTACAGAATTGCAAAATATTATAATTTTGATCACACTACTAATAATTGTTTGGGCACAAGGGTCTGCCACTTGAGGATTTCTTCCTCGAAACAGTAGCAATAAGTAATAGCTGCTGTTCTGAGCAACAGCAGGTAGCATGGAACAAACTTGATTTAACAGCAATGCTGCTAAGCAACTGCAGGTGGGCTTTGGAATAAAAACTTTCCATACAGCAAATCATGCACCGCAGCACACAAAAAAGGTTGTTCTTCTTATTCAGTACATCAAGTTGGATAATATAATCCAAATTTAGAGGACAGATCAAAAAAACTGTTCAAGCAGTGCCTCAGCGAATACCAGGGTGTGCTCCAGCCTTCTAAGAAATGTGTGTGGGTGATTGCTTGTGGTTGTGGGAAGGAGCTCTGCAGGTAGAGTTTAAAACAGCGACAGCTTAATCACATCAGCTTTTTCCTCCAAAATTTTCTCTCTGGGATTGTATTAGGAAGACTTGAGCCTGATTCTGCTCCTGTTTATGCCAGGGAAATTCAGCTCACTTTCGGCAGAACTGTTTCTGGCTGCATTAGGGCCCAATGAAGATGCACTAGTTATTCTTCCAAAGGTAATGAGTGCCTGGTATTCGCTTCAGTCTGCAATTCTGGTTCCTGCAAAGGGTCACGTCCTTTTCTGTAATGGTTACAACAGCAAGAACAACAGCTTTGCTTTATTAAACATTACGTAACAGTCAAGAATAGGCATTGAAAATGTTTGCCATTCATGTCTCCCCTCTGTACATATTATTACTAGAGAGGACAGACTCAGGCGAAGACATGTGGTAGCTGAATGTCTTCTCTTTGTGACATTTAATGAACTAGCTAAAATAAAACAGCCTTTGCCTCAAAGGTTCTTGGCATTCCTTGTATATCTACAACATGGAGGTCATAAAAAGTTAATATCCACTGGAAAAAAAAAATTAATCGCAAGAAGAATAGACTCAGTTACTCTGTTTTATAACATATGGCACAGATTATTTGCTAATCAGTGTAGGTTTATTGGTTTCACCAGCTTACCTGGCATAATTTTTGGTAATGCTACAGATAATATGAAGAATATCTAAATGTAGGTTAGAAGATTAGATAACTGATCATTCAATGTTGGATCCGATGTATAAGCTTGTTATATTTTTCAGCATCATCAAAATAGGGTAAAGGTAAACACTGTATTTTAGAGCAGACTTTTGAATTCCTCCCTCCCTCATTTTCATTATAAAAACTAATTCCTTCTCTCCACCCCTTTGAAAGACACTTAACACTCACTGGAAAAAAAAAAAAAAACAAACCAAAAAAAACACAAAACCAACCTATACCTACTCAGTTCTTTAAAATTAAATGGTACATCAAAGAAAGCACTTGCACAAAATTAAGACAAATTTTATCCAAGTGGAAGCCATGCTTGCACAGACATAAAAGTGAAACACATCTGAAGAAGTTTACAGTATCACAGCACAGTTTTGCATTCCTGGACCTTACCTTTGAAGAAAGGGATGTAATGATGTCTGAATGTAGATGTAGGGCTTGGGTGTTGGGGCAGGGAGATGCAGCTACTGGTACCAAGACTCAGAGTACCAGCTGGGGGCAACAGAGAGTAAGTGAAAATAAACTATTTAGTTCACTTACTGAAAGCCACAAATTACCATGCCATCCTCTTTTTCAGGAACATTTTCCTTCTGATGCTTAGAAAACAGAGTTTAAGACTTCATCTTACTCCAGTTATTGCCGAGAACATGACAGTGGCCCTACCATGCGGTTGGCCAATGGACATGGTCTTTCCACAGACAGAAAGAGCATCATATAAATTGCTGACAATGTAATGCATCAGAAAATATTCCAGAAAAGGCACCACAAAAAGCATAGCTGCACTCAGGGGAAAATCTGCATATTCAAAAGCTGCAGAAGGGAATGATATATGCTCATAATGGATCTAATGAAATGAAATGGAGAGAGCTTTGTCTCTGCTGAGAACTGTGCTATGAGTGGGTCCAGTTCTCACTGCTGTCAGTGCACACTGGTAGGATTTAATTCACAACACACCAGGGCACTCAAGTGCATGGCTAATTTAAGCATTTGAAGAAACATCCTGAAGTTATTTGAGCTCTGAAAGTTCGATACGTGATTAGGTACTTTGAAAAACATTCTCCAGAGTAGTCTTTTGATTGCTTTTTTTTGTAATAATGTCCTGAAAACATATTTCGGAGTATTACTGGCAATTATTAAAGAGGCAATTATGATGACTATCTTCTACATTTTCAATGAAGCTGTACAGTATTACAATTAATTTGGAATTTCTTTTGTCCTTCCTCTTTGCTTTAAGTGTGCAGCTAAGCTTAAGCATGACACAGCTGCCAGACCTTCAGCGGAGACTAATCTTTCCTCTCTTTAACAAATCTTTCATAGTCAATCTCCTTTCCACTTTGTCAAAGACTTCATGAAGTACAAATATTCAATTTCTCTAAAAACTACTTCAGTTACCCATAAAAATTTCATTTCCACTGGAACGATTAAGATTTCCCAATTTTCAAAACTAATTTATAAATACGCTGTTCCCCCAATCAAATTAAAATACACCAAGAAAATAATAGAAATGCTCTGTGTTCTCCACCCAAATGATGGAGTGGAGAAAAATGAGAAGGAATTTTGAGCACTTTATTTGTTATTTCCAAAGATTAAACTCTACAGTGCTCAAATACCAATGGGCCTTTGTAAGGGACCCTCATGCAAAGATCAAAAGGAGGTGATCCCTCTCTGTGTGACAACAGCACCAACACAGATACTACTACAGCCCAAAGCCCCAGTAAAAATGGCTGAAAGCTTCTCAACCAAAGCAACTTGGCCTTCAAAATCCAGCCACTAGAAGGACTAGTCACTCCTCCAGCTCTTGCACTGTGGAGAGGAGACATGGTCCATAACCCTGTGGTACAAGAAGAGATACAAAGTCACACAATCATCTTCTTGGCTTTGTGTGCATTCACTGCTACCTTGCTGCACCTTGAAAGAGCTGTGGGTTCAATGAGTAGCTTCAGGCAGGATGGGAGAAGGATTAAGTCCTTTAACCTGTCATATCTTCTGTTTACAGATACATAAAATAAATCTTTCTAGATATCTGTTTTCATGTTCTCAGATGCTCATTTCTGAAGCACTTGTTTCCTTTCTTCTCATGGGACTCTGTTCACAGTAAATAAATCATTGCAATGAACTGTTACTCCACCTTAAACTCCTGTCTACCAGAGTCTACCCTAGTTACAACATTAGACATAGTGGAAAAATCTAGAGAAAAAAATCTAGGGTCTGCTTTTCAATTACCTGGTCTGCTGTAATGCTGAGGAGAATGGGAGGTGGGAGTGTAGCGACCGTAACCCAGTGAGCCAGCAGAGCTAGGACTTGATGTCCTGTACTGCTTGAAAGATCTGTCATCTTGGTCACCCTGAGAGGAAGAGAGGAAATGTATGTCATTAGGGGAAAGAACTTCTGAAACAGGCAGAATATGCCATTTGGCACGTTTCTGTGCCGTGTCAATGGGATCTGATGCTGTTGTACCACTCCATGCAATCCCAATGAAATGAGGTGGCTTTCAGCTGTAAGCACCTCCACTGCAGTGTGACCAAAAGAGCTCCGCCAAGTATCATGTTCCCAGGAAAGTCAGCACATACATGGATTTAAAATGACAGCAGAACGTGAATAGAATAACACGCTAGAAATGGTGTTTCAGGACAGTATAGTTCCCTGAACATACACAGATGGGTGGAAGATGAGATCAGGTTAGAGTGATAGTCCCACGGTCACTCTGTACCCATAGGAATGGATGCATCATGGTTACAGGCAACACAGAAATCAGCATTTCTTGGCTTCACTACATTGCAGAAACAACTGTGTCTGTTGTATAAATTGCCCAGCATGCCCTGTGACGACACGCTCATTACTGGCCAAGTGACATAAACTCCCCTATATGGCGTTACCATTAATACTGCAGCACTGCACGAAGCAAGTCATACAACCCCCTTCCCAATAAGCCCTTGGCTTCAACCACTGAAAGCCACGCACACCCATTCCAAACCCCTCACTCTCTATAACTAGTTAGATTACAATTGCAATTTGCATGTAGTGTCTTCTCAACAGTAAAAGAATTACTGAGTGAATTAGATGTGGAAACTACATTTTGTAAACTAGCTATGAAAGCAAATTCAATTTTTCTTTTAGGAAAAGGGAGAATTGGCTTGAGTTAACTTCAAACTAGAACAAATCAGTGTATCCCAGAGGCTCTCTTATCGGAAGTCATACTCCCAAAAAAGCTTCCCCTCTCCTATTCCAGTAGGAGTGAATGAATATACACTGTACCATAGCAGGTGTTAGTCACTGGTCACGAATACCGGGACATCTTTAGGCATCTGTGTGACTCCCACTGGATCACTGACCATTTAAACACATGGGACGTCCTACACCAGCCTCATCATTCCCCAGATTCCTATCAGGACAACTTAATTATATCCATTCATTCATCTTTAGATGAATGCAGCTTCCTGTTCAGGCTGGATGAGGCTCTGAGTAGCTTGATCTAGTTGGAGATGCCCCTGCTTATGGTGGGGGGGTTGGACTAGGTGACCTTTGAAGGTCACTTCCAGCCCAGACATTCTGTGATTCTGTTCAACGTCTCTGGGTTTATCCTTGACTCCAGAGATGTTCGCCCATCATCATATTTTCTCCTCTGTTTCAGGTGCACTTTCTCCCTTCCACCTCAGCTCAGACCCACTGACTGCATTTTCAAAAATGGAAAATCAGTTTTGTATAGTAGTAAGTAGCATTCCCGCTTTAATACCCATTTCAAAAGGAATTATACAAAAAAGTGAGAAAAACCAATGCCTTCCCAGTGTTTGTAGGCATTCTGCCACCAACCCCTCTACGCACAGCTTGAGATGTTTCTCCCTCAAAGTAGCTACGCTATTTCATACCCACTCTAACCTTTGCAAAGAGATTTACAAGCAGTATAGCAATATCTCTAGAAAGTCTTGTGACTATATTCAAATATCTTATGAGTGTTAGCTACTGGTCCATAATGTGTCCAATTGTATAATATAGTAGAATTTTGACAGAAATATGATACAGCTCTGCAACAAAATTGGTGACAAGTTTGCAGACAATGATGCCTGAGCACCTGATCAGAGACTCTTTAGAGAAAGACAGCAAGCAAGGAAAAGCTGGATAACATGGGAGTATTCACCTAACACAGCATGGCAGCACCAACCTCCACACTAGTGTCACTTTGGGCATTTAATAGTATTGACAGTTTGAAAACTGCTAGTTAGTTTAAAGGAAATTATTATAACCTTCCAAAACACCAAAATTTCATATTGTTTCAGACCTTACCTTTGGTGTACCTTGTGTCTCTGGAAGAAACAGTGAATCAAGTTCACAAAATCCAATATTAAATAAAGCACATTTTAATTTTTAATATAAATTAAAATCAATTTATATCAATTACTTTACATCCCTATTGGTTAACTTCTCTGTTTAACCAGTGCTTAGAGTGACAGTTTGTGATTTACCATTGTTAATGGAAATTTGCAATTCTCCATTCCTACTAAAAGTTTGCTATACATACAATTAGGATAACGGAGAAATCAGCTAGTCCTATGGTATGAAATTGAGTTACAATCTGGGAAACTATGTTAAGTGCTATCATCACTTCCAAGTTGATGTTTCTTGAAGCAATGATTGGCCTTGATCACTAAGGCATATCAAAATACCCAGACCTAGAAGTACAGGTACATGATTTAACTGTACGTGTGCAGAGAGTGTAAGTAGTTTAACTACTTGTAAATAAAAAAAGAAAAAAAAAAAGAAAAAAGAAGAAAAAGCTATGTCGAGCATTACTTCAAGTCAGCTCACACTGGCAGCTTTAAAAGAAACATAAATCATGTTTCCCAATATAATTTATTTAGTAGAGCTTGAAGAAGTGACCACCATACAACCTTTATTTTGGAAAGCAGAAACATGGATGACAGTGGTGACAGATGTATACAGATGACAATCCAGAAGCAGAGCACATATTCAACACAAGTAACACTGTGAAAAACATAAATTATAAGACCCCATGCACTACAGAGGCTAGAGGCAAATCCCACACTTCAGACGCTGCTGGTTATCAATATGACCAGGTTTATGCATCACAAAATGGGTCAGAAGAGGAGAGCTAAGGCATTGGGGATTACCTCAGTAGGTGTTGGAGAGAGCAACTGAGGTGACTGCAAACAGCAACACACAACAAATTAGTGATACAAATTCATGCATGATGTTACTTGCGAGAAGAATTACTCTTAAAATACCAATATCCATGTATACCACATGATACAGTTAGGAAAAACACTTGTCAGTTAAGTTAGGGCAATTTTTCTTTTTCTTTGTTTTTGAATAAGCAAATAAGGAGTAAGATACAAATAATTACATATGAAGCTTTAGTTGGTTTCTCTACTACAAAATCCTTGGCTCTGGTGAGGCCAGTCCTGTGCCACAGAGTGCTGCTAGTAGGGAAACTCCCATTTAAAGCAACTGCCTGAAACTACACACAATCCCTAGTAAAATCTGCATTGAAGCACCTCCAAAATCTGGACTAGAATGTTGTTGTTCAGAGATGGCTTTTTAAGGGAAGCAAATTACCCGTACCATTCAATTTTTAATGAAATATGATGTAATTTGACAATTTTCTTTTCTGTCTAGATGTAAATGGGCAGCTGAGGAGCACTAGAAACATTATCAGCACCTGCAAATTTTGACATAGAACAGAAGAGTTTATATTGCATGAGTTCATGGCTAGGCAACAGCTTTCAGTTTGTGAAATCAAAAACTTGAATGCCATTTATGGCCTTTACCAGATACAAGCTTAATTCTTTTAGGATGCATTATAATGGAGCTACTGTGGTTTGGCATTTTACAGAGAGGGTTGGGAAGAGAGTCTGCAAAATCTAATGTATGTGCTGCACTTCACCTGAGAGTAGTACTGAGACTTAAGTGTAAAAGGTGTAAGTGATAGCAGGACTAGGGCTATTATAAATGGTATGGCTATTATTTACAGCATTTCTTTCTACCCATTCCCTTATAACTATAGAGAACAAAGGGGACTTCCATTATATTAGCAAGATCTATATGCTCTACAACTCATATATCTAAGAGGTTTGATTTGTAAAAACATGTCTAAAATTAAAAAAGAAATCATAAATTCAAATGAAAGGTAAATAAGGTTAGGGAAGAAAAGCTAACTTGCATGACAGGAGTTATATACAAGTTTGCTTTACATAAAAACAGAATTAGTATTAGAAAGATTATGTTAAATTAGATGTCATTAGCACAATCTGTGTAATATTAGCTCTGCATATGAAGAGGCTGAAATGCATGCGTGACACGAGGATGAACTTTAGTAAGGGACAGTTGAGAAAAATTTGTACATAGGAAAGTGACACCATTGTTGTGTTACCAAATAACATGGTACACTTTAAAAAAAAAAATAAATCATGAAAGACTTTTGGCTTCGCTTCTGATTTTTGTGTTATAATTAGAAATGGCTCCTGTTTCCTACTGCATGCATGTAGAATTCCCCTCATACATAAATATATTTTAATTACATGTCATCTGTTTAAAAAAATGATCACACAAAGCAATTATTTAACTTACACAAACTAAAAAGTGAAATGAACATCTCACTTATTTTTTGGAAGGTCTTGTGAATGAATGGATGACATGACTCAACTGAAGCTATAAAAGTTAGTTGTTTTTTTTTAAAAAAAAAATATGCACATGTTTAAGCAGTGGTCAGCAACATGTTTAAGGACACACATAAAATCTCAAATTCATAGTAAAAAAAATACCCATGTTTCAGTACCTCCCCGTAACTATGCCTGTCATCTGAAGAGTAACTGATATATGGAGAATAGGAGATCATATCTGGGCGGTCAATGTTATAGATGGCTTTATTTTTAGGAAGAGCAGCCAAATCCCTGTAGTCAAGAATTTCATCTCCAAGCTTTGCCTAAGAAAAGGAGGAAAGAAAGCAGTGAGAATAAGAAAGAATATGATCAAGATGCAATCAGAAAAGGACAGGTAAGTGTAGGCAGAAAAGTCATCATCATCATAAAACCACTTTTTATGTTTGTGCACACTTAAATCTCTTCTATTTACTACACAATGCTAAATACTGCTGTTGTTTTCTTTTTATGTATATAGTGGTGCTTTCTACGTTTCTTTGTCACTCCTGTTTGGATAATAGGAATAGCATGGCATCTTTCCAGGCCCCTTGGTTATGTCCTACTTACTGTAGCTGCACAGCAAGACATGGGGGACAGGTATTGTAGTCTTTTTCAAGCAAAACACCCATCATTTTAGAGTGGTTTCAGTGTGCAAGGGTTCCCCTATCACAAGAAGTACTGAACAATCAAATACGTTTTTCCAACATATACTCTCCAGATACTGAAAAACATCTGTCAGGTCTTTAATTTTTCCCATTCAGCTGTGTCCCACAGCTTCACCTCCTTTCCTGACTGTGTCTAAGAAGCCCTTAATTATGGGTCAAAAACCAGCAGATGATGGATTTTCACCACAGTGGATCAGCTGGAAGATCACAGATGCCACTTAAGTAAAGTTCAAATCCTTTCATGAGACTCACACAGGCACTGGGATAAAAGGGCTGTGTCGCTCCCCATTCTCCTCTTACTACGCTTATTCCAAAAGTGTAATTATCAAAGTGCCACATTTGCATCAAACCTGTATTCAGCACATACTGTCTTGTAGATACAACAAGTTGGCCACATTGAGAGTGGAGAAATGGGCAGTTTAAGTGCCTCATTCCCAGTTCAGGCCTTGCAGAATGTTGGCAACAAAATGAGTGAATCTTACAATTCTCTGAAAATCTCAGTATGATCAGCTACAAAAGTGTAATAATGTTTTCCACTTGCAAAAATATGTAAGTATCCATGATTTATGTGTACAGTGATTATATTTTTTCTTAGTATGAGCTAAGGATTTTCCACAGAAGTCTTCTACTAGGTTAATCATACAGGAAAAATTTAGTGTGACAACTTTTGGTTATTCCTTTTTCTAAAGCAATGTATGAATTTGTGGAATTGTAAGCAACATGGAAAGGAGTAAGATTCTTCTTAACTAAGAAAGTGGAACAAAGTTGCCATCATCGTCACATATTCTCAGCCTCAAAACTAATGAAAAAATGTCTTTTAATCAAATATGTGATTCTTTACTGATCTACAGATCTCACTGTCTTTGCAGCTATTTAAGAACCTAAAGAGCAACAAAGTAGCCCCCAATGAAAATAAATCCCTCCCTGCTTAGAAGCCAGTGGCAAGCTCTAATGCAGAGAGGTCATGCAAAGGTAAGTAGTATGTCCATCAGATATGCTCCAGGGAGAATTTGGGCAGCACTACACCAACAAGGAAGGCCAAGGAGGCTGTATTTCTGAGTTACCTAGGGTTGGAGAGATTATACAAGTGAACGCAAAGAAGTTCAGAATATTTAAATGTGAATTACAGTAATTTTAGCCCCTATCTCTCCACATGATGTGCAACTTGAGATCCTCCCATTTGACTTCAGAACTGTCAGGAGTAGAACTTAGTTATGTAATTCCTTTCAGTTTAAATATCAAAATGTACACAAATTTAAATGAAGAATTACTTCAGAGATACAGCTTCTCTCTACACACTCAGTTCTACAAACATTCAGCCTACAGTGGTTTTATTTTATTTATTTCACCTACTTTCAAATATGTGAGTGGAATTCAAATATGCCAGGGAAGGCTCAAATTATAGCTAAGAGGCTTTAAGCCATTTCTTCAATAATCTGGTATTTTGGATTCTGTTAAAACCATGCTCTAAGTTTAGAGTATCTATTTCATTTGGAATATGTAATTTTACAATTGTGTTATTGCAAATATGATGAATGTAAATTCTATCCCTAGTATGAGAACATACAACACAGCTATGTAACCTAACCTAAATCTTTTAGTTGGATGTATTAGTCTGGAGCACCTAATTCTTTCTTCATAAAATTCACCTCTGTATAAAAAAGGACATTGATTTCACCCTTTAATTTCTAAGTGGTATTTAAGGACTGAGGTGATGGCAGCAGTAGGGTCAATTTCAGCTGGGATATAGTGAAGTCATCACTAAAGGTTATGAAAAGATGCCCATTAACTTCAAAGGGCATTGGCCTATGCCTTCTCAGTGCACAAAGACACCAAAGTCTGATACAAACAGATGTAGAGAAAGTGGTGTGTGGCTTCAGTAAGCCATTGGTGTGTACCACATTCAGATCTAATCAGAACACTTTTCTTCACATCTCCCTAGCTGACCACTTAACCATGACCCAGAAACACATCTCCCATGAGATGGTGCCTTGTTCAGAATGATTGCATTGCTCTGACTTGATGCCTTTGAAAGTATAATCACCATGAAGTAATGGTTCCTAAGCTTTAATAGTTTTCTCTAAACTCTCTTTTGTCCAACATGATACTTCAGAGAGCTCACCAGTTGTTAAGGTACAGTCTTACTATTGGTTGTAATGATCTGAACCCATGGACACTATTCTGTGTGTGCCCTCCCACTCTGCTCTGCCTCCTATGCTAGCGTTACAATGCATGTAGACAGCTGGGTCTTTTATTGCCTCTTTGGTTGGCTGGAGGTTTTTCTTGGGTTATTTTTCAGCTGAATCTGGTCTCCAATCTGACTGATTATACCACCCCTGTGCACCCAATACTACTAGCACCAAAAAGAAGATAGGAAGAGGTGGCCAGAGCTACATGTGGGTGGGAACTTCCTTTCAGTGGCAGCATTAATCTAGGTTGGGTAAAACCAATCACAAAAGCAAGCAAGACAAATCTTGAGCATGTCTGAATGTCATAACACCCCTGTAATAGAAACCAGATGTAAGATAGCCAAAGAATCATTCTGATAATATAGAAGTCCAGAAACATGTTTTTAATTTTTTACTTTCCTGTTTGTGAAAGCCAAAATAGGATTTAATCAATCTCACAGCTTTGACAATTAAGCAGTAATAGATGAGACAGATACACCATGAACTTGCACACCTCCAGGGAATCTTTTTTTCCTAACTGATTCATATTTGTTAGACAACTTTATTCTTTCACAGTCCCAGCTGCCTCTAAAGTACAATACAGTAAGAAACATTAGAGTTGTGTGCTGACTTAATGATAGCCTTTGAAAAAAAGAGGGAAAAAAAGAATGGAGGTCTGTCCTTGTCTTCTAACAGCCTGTGAAGCACATTTAAAGTTGTAATCACAAACACCAAGGAAAACAGTACATCTAACAGTTAGATGTGTCACTAAAAACAGACAAATCTTAGAATAATGCTTGTACTTATAAAAACAATGAAGTGGTGCATGGCTGGAGAGAAAGACACCATCTGGCCAAGAAAGTGTTCACATGACAATGAATTGTCTTCAGAGGCAATGACTTTTTTTACTGGCAATATACCACTGGTATCCACCAGCATGGAGCTCTCCTGGAAGGAGAGCTCAGAAACACTGATGAGCATTTAGATAAGGGGCAGTTTCTCCACTTCTAGTTAGTCTTACTCAGATAAAGGGTATATGGCTTTCAAAATAATTTTTACTTGAAAAAAACGGACAAGTTTGGCTCAAAAGCACACTTTTACTTGCCTCAATGTTGTAGATAAAAGCCCTTAATCTTTGTATAATAACCTCTCTGGCAGTCAATTGCATCTCCAGAAATTTCCTCGGCATATGGTCCTACCCAATGAGAACAATCTGTCTTCCTGAGAGATACTTGGACAGGACAAAGAATAGCCCTCATAATACTGCAGGTCTCCCAACAGATTTTGTATGGCTCATGCCACACATGGATATTTTTTACCTGTTGGTGGTAGCCTTGAGAATTTGGCCATGAACACTAGCTACAGCAATTACAATAAGCAAAGTACACCTGGTATTGAAAAAAAATACTCAAGCTTTTATCATCCTTGTTATTTTAAATTCCCTCTCTGAGTTTCCCAGAGTGAGCACTTCTTGAACCATAAGCACATCAAAGGTTCTCTGAGGTTAGGGGCTGGCATTTGTCATGGCCCAAGTCCTGCAATCACACACACGAGTGTTTTCATAAGCAATCAGATGCAGGCTCAAGAGCTCAATTTAGACAAATGTTCAAATCTAAGCTTGTAATCTACCTGCGGGCTGTACTGTTTACTTAAACTTTTCTTTTTAGAAAGCACTGTGGTATTTTGCATGCTTTGGTACAAGCCATGTCTAGTTCACAATATAAGTGCTATAAATACACCACAAAAAAAAAAAAAAAAAAAATAAGAGGAACTGCCAGAATTCTGTTATGGCAAATGTAGCATTTTAACTTTTCAAACGTGAGAAAGCAAATTCCATTTTAGAGGAATCACCAATTGCCGTGATTTGGAGTCACTAACTTTCCACACAGTCTGCTGAACTGCACGAGGAAGCAGAGAGTTATCCACACCCCACAGAAGCAACCTCACCATGAAATACTCACATAGATCACACGGCTCGGGGAACCTGACGTACTTGAAGCAGGTACAGAAATAATGCTCTCAGAGGAGGTCCTCGTCTCCTGCGGCAGAAGTGAAACAGAAGAGAGATAGAGAAGAAGAGAAAATGTGACTGTTACTTCAAAAAAAGTGTGCAAGTCATTTAATGTAATCTTTATCACTCAAAAATGGCATATTACAGCAACCTCAAAACATACCAGCGTATCAAGGAATTAACGATAAAAGAATACTTTCAGTCAATCACATGAACATTTTGAAAATGTGAAACTTATTTTACATATGACTTTCTTTCCCCTTCCCTTCAGAACAAAATGGCCTGGAGCACTTCTGGGCTGCCAGGACAGCCTTTGGGCACTATCAGAGACTGTTCAAGTTACAGGATGGAGCAGTGGCAGCATTTTTGTTCTAAGGTTATGCTATCAAATCCATATACACTGCTTCTGGAATGTGCCACGCTACCAGGCCATTCACTCCCAGCAAACAGCACGACATCCTGCAGAGCATCCTGAATCAGACTCCCAAGTGGTTAGCTTCCCCTCCCTGACTGTAAGGCTACCAGATTAATTGTAATATTTGACTGCTTTTGCTCTGTCTTCAATCATTCTGGCATCCAGAGTGACAGATTTTTATTGCTTTCTTTTTGTTAGATTCCTTTATGATGAAAAATATGTTACTTTTAAATAAACAAGGGTTGTGAGACACATTTATATTAACCATGAATGAACAGACCTGACATTCATAACTGAACATTAAACACATCTTACTATGAAATCAATGTTTTTACCCAGATACTATAATTCTGGGTAAATATTCTTTCCCATCTATGGAAAAACCTGTCACTGATTGCAAAAAGTACGTGTTTTTTCCACGTGCTCCATGTGAATGACCATCATTTACTATCTCACCAAAGGCTGACACTTCTTACCTGGAGGTTACAACTGTTCAAACTTTCTAAAGGATTTTAACATTTTTAAGCTGTCAGGTCAAGGTAGCATCCTGCTTACTATTCCAGTATTTACTTGACAAGCTAAAAAATCACAACTATCCTTCCACAGAGCTTCTTTAGCCCAAATAGTCCTGTGGCTTCTCAACAACACTACGTGGAGATACTTATCCATATAAAAAAGATTGAGTTTAATTGTTTTGGCATGTCTGACTGGGATTTTGGAATTTTTTCCCCTCTCATTTTCAGGTCTCTCATGCTGAGACTCTGTACACACTCAGGAGGCCCAAGGGGACGAGGAGAGAAATAGAGTATTATCTGAGAAATACTTGTGGCTGCTGTTGAGATAATCATTTCACACAAACTGTATAATTGCACTGCTTTTCTGGATAGTTAAAGCACACTGCAGTTTTCCAAAACTTGTGTGAATTACTTGGAAGTGTCATCAATGTACTGATGTCATGTGCAAAACATACTTCTCCTTCATGATGTCTTTACAGAAGGCCCAATGAAGTAGAGAAGAAGAAAAAAAAAATCAAACCTGCACTATTCCAATGTTTTAAACCTTGTTAAAGTCAAATGACAGTTTTGGATTAAACTCAGGATTCCCTAGATAAAGCTTCAGAGCTTCTTTGTCACGTACTTCTTCAGCTTGCATCCGTGCTTCCTTACACTATTCAGATACTCCCACAAAATTTCCCCTTTCTCTTCCTGGTGATTAAAACCTGCTCATTCCACATCTCAGACATGCTCTTTATTCTCTGCACAATCCACTACCACTTTTAGCATCCCCAGTCCATGCCTGCTGCACATAATTTCCCAGCTTTTGCAACAAAACCTGACATTTCACTTGACTGCACTGCCTCTGTTAGTTCTTTTCTCTATACTACACATCTTTATTCTTCCTCCACTTACCTCTTTTTCCTTTATGGCTTTTGATAATCCTCATTCTTTCTTTTGCTACTGTGATTTCTCCTGTCTTTTCCAGCTTCACCCCTTCTGCTTACAATCTCACTTTCCTATCATGTTTTCTTTTTTTTTTTTTGTCACTATCTTTCACAATTTCTTTTTCCCTTCCCTTCCATCTCCAAAGTTTTGGAGTGTGCTGCCACTTACTCCTTCTGCATTTATCACCTACTTTAATTACATGTTATGCACAGATGTCTATAAATATACAGAAAGATAACTTTTAAAATAACAAATCACAAAGGTTGAACAGAAAATTTCTCAACCAGTATATGCCATTCCCAACTTCACAAGTTATGTTGAAAAGTCCATTGCTACCCTCTTTGAAATGAAATCCTTTCTTTTGGTTTATTTTTGGAATGAGTATAAATACAAACAAACAAAAAGACAAAGAACCCTAAGAAAATTTACTAGATTTAGGAAAATTTTTTGAGCTCCATTCTGGGAGTTTTCCCTTGTCAGGCAAAATTCCTACTGACTTTCAGATACAGATGCCTTCCTCTCTGCCGGGGCATGGGCAAACTCCCAGCCCTCAGGAGAGATGTGTTATAAATCAGTCAGCCTTTACACAACATCTTATAAGTATAATTTCTTTGCTTTTGTGAGGAAAAGGCATAGAAGTAGGAACCCAATCCAATGGTACAACTTGTCTGCCTTCTTTCTTGGGGAGGGGAAGTTACTACATTTTCAAAAAATTACATGGGTTTTTAGCTTTGCAACTTCAGTTACTTAATCCTTATTAAAGAATTTATTAAAGTATTTTGACGATTTAAAATATACATATATTAAGCAATACATTTTATACTGAAATGGAACTTATTTGCTATTCAGAGCTTACCATAAAGAATACCAGAGCAATCACTTCCCAAATACATGAGTACAAAAAATACAGCCAAGATCCTTCAGGGTAAAGTCCAAACCAAATTTTTTTCAAAACTGTAATTTACTCAAAGTTGCACTTGCTAACACCCCAGATTTGTAAACACGCTTTTTATAGCTGCTGCCTTCTGCTCTGACTTGTCCCAAGTGCCTTCCATCCAAGCCTTGATGAATCAAAGCAAAGCTTTTTCAAACAGAGATACCAAGGGTACCACTTGGAGCATCAGAGAACATAAGAGCTGAAAACCCCCGTACTTGGCCTCCACATTAAATGAGATAGTTGTAGCTCAGTCCCACCACTTCAGAAGGATAATTTCCCCAGCTACAGACTAATTCTTCATTTCCTAGGGCCAGCTTATTCATCTGCTAACCTTGTAATTACTGACGTTGCCAGAACTCCCCCTTTTCTCCTTGCACGCAGACAGATGCACAAATCATCCAACTTAAGGAGGTATTTAAAGCCAAAGTTTAAATGAAGTTGGGACTGGCTTGCCAACATTTTACAAATAAATAATACAAAAAGAAATTCCAAGATGATTTTTTTTTGCAAAAACAAATAAAATGAAAGATCTCTTTTTTGTTTTAAGTGCAGAGCCACATAAAAAGAGGTCATGCACTGGTCACAGCATAATTAGAAGTTAAAACTCAACTTTTTTTTTCTGATTCATATTTTCACATTTTTCCTTATTCAGCTTATACCTGTAACTCTTAGGTCAGCATTGTCCTGAAACTGTAGCTTTAATCATTAAGTAAGAGCAGAATATTTATATTACATTATTACATTACATTTACCTACTAGATTTCTGTCACTTAAACTTACAGTACCGAAAAAAATTCCAAAGCCTTCCCCCCGGACTCACTATGGAAAAAGGGGTAGAGGATAAAATGGCAATGGAATAGCACTGGGTAAAAATACAGTCTTTTACCTTGTTTTTTTCTTCAGCCTTTGCAGCCTGTCTACAAACTGGATGCCAAATGGATGTACCTGGAAAGTAAATTTAAAGTTCTGCTTAATATAGTTCCTCTATAAGAACCTTAAAAGGTTTTAAATAAGAACATTATTAAACATTGTTGTAAGGTTTTATAAGACAGAGAGCTGACTGATTCCATTGCAGTCACTATTTCATGGATACGTTCAAAGCTAAAACTGACAACTTCTCAGTATCAGTAAGCGTGATCACATATATTTTAAAGACTAAGTGCACTTCAGAGAGCTACATGTACTACAATATGTGAAGTCAACATAAAACCTGAGACCTAAGAAATGTGATATGGGATCTCTGGAGCTCCTCCAGCCCAACCTCCTGTTCTGAGCAGGTCCCATCACAGTGAGCAGCTCAGGGCTGTACCCAGTTGGATTCTGCATATCTCCAGGGGTGGAGATCCCTCAGCATCCCTGAGCAACCTGTCCCACTTTCATGACAAATTTATTTTTTTCTTTTACATAGTTAGAATTCCCTGTACTCTTATTATACATATTGTAATAATCTGGCCCAAGTCACACTAAGTAACAGACTGTGATGGGATGGAATAGCATTGTGGCATTTAACACTAGCTCAAAATCCCGTCTCAGTATTCGCTGTCCTCTTCTTCCACTTGCTGTGTTTGTCTCTTTTAAGTCATGTACAAAGGAACCGCATAAATTCAGGGGAATATCAATCCTAGAGAAAGCAGGAATTACAGAGAGAATGAACAAATTCTCCACTGCATGCAAGTACTGAAGAGGATTATGAACTACAGAGATATATGTAAACATTAAGTGTAAGCAAGAAACTTAATACTTTTACGTTAGTCACAAAGGGAAAAAAAAAAAAAAACTTTTAAAAAGTTGAGCACAATGTTCAATACTTAGCATTCAATGGAAGTGGGATACGTGTAAATACAAAAAACAGAAGAATTATTGGTCAATTTTAGCAGTCAGAAGGAACCTTTATGTTTACGCCAGCCTGAGCTTGGACAAACTAAAGCTCTGCACAGTTACATGTGAGTGAACTGCAACTTCTGCCTGACTAAATGGGAAGTTGAGAACCTTTGTGTTACAAACATTTAATGTTTATATTGGGTGGAGAGCACCAAGAAGTGTTATTGGAAATGCTTTGTTTTCACAGCAGTTTGATAGTTTTCTAACCAGTGGATTTTGGAAACACGGTAGAAACAGAAAGTCTACTTCCCAGAAGACAGATGGAAATCATTAGAATTTATTTCACAAAAATAATCCAGATGAAGCTAGACTCAACCAGTAACAGACTATCTGTAAGTACAAACTGGATAAATTATGTTTACTAAGTTACTGAAATTTTGAGGAAGTGAACCATTAAGAAACTTCTTCCTAGCCTCTTTAAATTCAATGCTAATTTATCTTCCAATTACAAGTAGGTCTGAGCTTGCCCACCGAGAGCATTTGTCCCAACTGCTGCGTGAATTGATGTAAATCTTCCTCATGGTTTTAAGAAGTATTTACATAACTTTTTTTGTATTTCTCCCCTCCGCGGTCAAGCAAAACTGGCTGTGAAACTTTTTCACACAGATGAATAAAGAGTCCTTTCAACCAGAAGTCATCTGCTGGATAACCACTTACAACTCAGTTTCTGCTAAGGAACATGCTACACCTAAAGAAACTTTACAGTAGTTCATAAAGAGGATGAAGAATAAGTTGTAAGACCCTGGACTCTGAAAATTGACGTAACACATCAGGTCAGGCAGTTCAAATACCTAATCACAGATCTTTCCCAAAGTTAATACCAACTTCTAATGGAAGCTGCTCTTTGTGTGAAGACAAACAGTATACAAGAGTAAGCTGGCATGAAAGTTTCATGCATCAGGAAATAAAGTGAGTAAGATGAGCCCAAATTAACTGGATGTGACCATAATTTGCAATTATTTGAACAAAAAATCAGCACAAAAACCTAACAAACAGCCACGCTTATAACAAACTGAACTTAAAAAGAAGATGAACTTGAAACCCAGTTTCAGAGGGTTTGAAATCTAGAAACAAATGTGTAGTTTGGTATCTTTTTTTAAAGCATTGATTTCCCAGGGGATTTTAGTACTGCTAAGCTACTTTGCAATTGGAAGAACCACAGCATTTTCTGGCTCCTGAGGGAGAATCCATGAGCACACACAAGGATCGTTATGTCCTTTAATGAGCTAGTTCTTGTTGCAAACCAAAGTGACAATAATATTGTCATTTCAAATAACGTACTAAATTATAACTAGATCTTACTGAGACCACTCTTGTGTTTTAAATAAAGTCTTGACTTCTCCAGCTTAATGAATGATTTCAAAGTACGCTTCCAGAAAACTGTGGACAATTGCAAAGTTGTAATACAGACCTGGGAAACATGTGATTTTAGGATAACACAACAGTCTTGCAGTTCCCACATCTTACTGAGTTTCTCTTTTCTGTTTTCCTTTGAAAAGATACTGCCAGTCAAAGACATCAACAAAAGCATTCATTTTCTCTGGGGTCTGACCCTGTATTTAACTGTGTAGATTCATTTCTTTGATCAGTTTAGGGCAGCTAAAAGTTGTTGCATGTGAAATATAGATGCTAGTTCATATTTATATTAGATAATCTTTTTTCCATGTAATAAATTACTGTGCAAGTCTGTATTTATTACCACTGAAATCCCCTGACAAGAAACACTGAATTTCTTATTGCTGCATAAGGTATAAGTATATTGTGTGGTAAAGACTTCAGCTCCATAGCATACTGTTTTCCAGCTTCTGAGGGAACTTATGTCTGACTGAAAAGAATTCAGGTAAGTAGCTTCAGATTTTCTCCTCATATACCAATGGGTACTGAACTGGTCTTAGGACTGCAACAGCAGCTTTAGGGAACCTGCTGTTCCACATGCTTGTTGAATTCCATCTGGACCATTTATTGGTGCAGTAAAATCACCTTTTTTTTAGTAATTGGAAAATGTTATTATATTATTTAGTATATGGAAAATGTGCTTCTATTTGCAGGAAATAACTGGTACCAGTCATCCTTTTTGTGATTCACACTTGCTATTACTGAGAAAGGTAATAGGTAAGAAGGAACAAGGGTTTGCTTTTGTTTTTCCTTAGACTACACATTCCATTCTTCACTTTATTTGGTGGTTATGAAGTGAAAATCTGTGCAAAACAGCTCAGCCATGCTAGCAGATATAGGGAAGAGGGCCATGCTGCCAAATGTATCTGGTGTTTTTTGTTTGGTTTGTTTGTGGGCTTTTTTTGTTTGTTTTTTTTTTTTTGTTTGGTTTTTTACCTTGAAGATACATTTCTTCTCCTTCTGCAAACATCTGATTGCACCTGACACATCGTGCGCAGGTTGGGTGATAATGTTTTTCTCCTGCCTGTTTGGAAAAAAAAAAGATACAGATGATTAAGTATACTGAAGAATTTAGCAGCTGCACTATGAGAAGGACATTTTTAATCCTCTAGAATATGACTAGTTAGAGTACATTAGTTAACACAAATTAATTCAATCTCCTAGAAGTACAACGCCAATTTTTGATTACAGACGATCCATGATTTAAGAAGCAATTATGGTCTTGCCTACACAAGTTTAATGTGCAATGGTTAAGTCTCTGAATTTACAAAATGGAAACAATTTTCTATAGCGAACATATCTTCCCTGCAAGCAACCATGCTGTGCACTGACTGCAAGCTACTCAGGACTTACCTACACAACGAAGTTGGAAGGTCATAACCTTAAGCATGGATTTGCAGCTCAGCTGTATTTTCATCATGATACCACTGAATATATAATCTTGTGCAAGGAATGCTTGTATCTGCTTTGAATGTGTCTTGCAGGTAACTGGTGTTAAAGGGTTTCTGTGAGGAACGTGTGTGGCATGCCTACAGGACCCCAAGTTCAGACCTGACACCTTTGGCTGCTGTGCACTAACTCCCTCACACAGACAAGCCAGAAGATTTACCAATTGTTCTGAGATTAATCTACAAAATTAATACCAGCATTTTCATTGATTGGAATGAGAATAGGATGAGCCCTAAATTTGCTCCAAACAGTTTAGTAACTCATCAATTTTCACAAATTTACATTTCCGATTACCCATTGATTTAAAACTGTTTCACCATTGACATCAGTGGTTTTTTTTACCAGAGATCTGCTACAAAGAAGAAAGGACTTGTCTATGCCAGAACATCAATGTGTAACACAGACAAGGGTGAACTTAACCACAAATGAATGTCATAAAAAAACTGCCTAGATTCTTGAATCAAGGGATTTATGCAGGATGCAATTTTGGTTGCATGGCCAAAATTCAGTTCTGTGGCTGACTGTGGGCAAACTTGTTAACTCTGGTTCCCACAGGCAAGGACAGAAACACCACAAGGTAATATCGGCCTAAGCCAGAGACAAAAATAGCGTTCAGGGAGTTGTACACTTCTGAGTGAACCATGTGAAAGAGCCTCTCCAAACTGCACCCCTACCCCGTCTTCTACCCTTTAATAAATTACTATCAAATGTTGCTCCACTGTCTTCAGCACATAAACATGCTCTCACAGCATTGCACTGTAAATCCCCCTCCTATTTATCTGGAACTTTCACACTGAAAACACTTTTTTCCTTGACTGAATGTCAAAGCTTTCAGAGGTGTTTATACTAAAGAAGATAATCTCTCTCTGAGGGATATTTTACCATTCACAATATCAAACATAGGAGTGTGGTAATTTTTAGGTTAAAGAATCTGCGGTTTTACTTCATCAAGCATTAACTTGATCCACCCCTGAAAAGCTGTCGCTGCATCTGAAATCAGCAATAAGGAAAAACAATACATCACATCAGAACTGCCATTCTGAAAACAGCTTTTTCCAGTTCCCTCTTCTTACAATGCCATTTGTGCTGATTGCTGAGTGATTTTTGCAACTTTAGACAAGGAAGATGGTCACTACTAAATATGTTGACACCTTAAAGTATCAGATCATGAAGTATCACCCTCAGGCTTAAAACTCAGGTTTAAAACTGCTTGCCTGAGTGGAGGTGTTTAAGCACAGGATTGTGTTTAACTAACACCAGATAAACTTAGGTTTGGAAAACCAAGCTGAAAAGAAATATCATTTCCCTTGGAAGATGTGTACTGCCCAAGCACTGCTAATGCAATGCACAGCCTCAGTAACTTGACTGAGCACAGCTGAAACCATTCCCAGGAACTCAGTTACTCCTTTGCTAAAATAAACTGTCAGAACACATTCTCAGATAACCTGGATGCATCACAGAATGAAATCTATTTGCCCTAACTTAACAGTACAACCAAATATATAATTTTAATTAACTTTGTATAATAAATAATATCAACTAGCTCTTAAATCATAGACCAACATGCCAGAGCAGTGGAGGGAGGAATAAGTGAATACGTTCACCCACAGCATAGGGTGTGCAGAAGGGAGTAAGCTCACTCTGGAACCATGCCATGGTAGATGGAAGGACCTAGGTGATCAGTCCAAGCATCTTGCCCCACCACCCTGGGAGCTCCACTTGCCATGAAGGGTTGGGGAATCCTTTCAATAACCAGAACCCCACACACCACATGCACTGCATGGGCAGGTCACCTAACTGCACTGCAGGCAGAGCCAGTTCTTATAGAGGTGGCTTCTTGCCCCACCTCCAAGTTAATGTGGAAGGTGGGGGCACCTGGTGGTGATGTCCTAATCAGTTCTCACCCAAGGCTGGCCATATCCTGGGTGAAAATCAGCCAGGAGGGTCTTTCTTGCCTCATTGTGGGCATCATCTATTGTGGAATCGTGACTTGCAGAGCAGGGTGATATGTTTTGCTGAGTATGGACAATCAGCACAGGCCTGAGGTTCTCGTAGGCCTGAGAAAGTCTGTAAAGTAACTTTAATACCAAAATATTTAGAGTTAGTGAATTCTGTTGGATGCTCGCCCAGACAAGAATGTTAAACACTGACGAGAGTAACTACAACAACTCTGAGGCTGACAGAGCACGTGGCCAGAGCATGGACAATAACTATTATCCAATCTGTAGCAGCTTAGGCATGTGAACAGGCTTGTTAACCTATGGGGTTCAGGGGGCTGTCTCTTGTCTCTATAAAAGGCTGTAATACTTTGCAATAAACGGATTTGCCTGCAGACCCCCTTGGAGTGTGCATCTTTTCTCCGGTGCTCCTTCCTGATAATCTATATGCCCACTCTCATTCAGGGCTGGGGGTTTAATCCTAGCACTTCATCACAGAGTGACTTGGGTTGGGAGGGACCCTTTAATGTCATCTAGTTTCAACCCCCCCTGCCATGGCCAAGGAAAA